ATTAGAGGCAAGAGTGCGCTGGGGCCGAGGTCTCCAGCCCTCCCCGCTCCTGTCCACCCAGAAAAAATGAAAGCCATAGAGCGGCTGCCAGCGTGGCCGGAGAGTCAGAAATGCCAGTGCTCCTTTGTGATTAGGACTGTCCTTCAGGCAAAACAGATGTTTTCCTGGAAAATGGGTCTTAACTAGCAGCGATCGGTGGTCTGTGAGAAGGGCAGGTCCGAGCCACGGAGCGGGCTGAGGCACGTACACCCTGAGACCACAGGTGACCAGTGAGGAGGGTCATGTGGCCTGGGGCTGTGGCGGCCCGGGGCCCCGGACATAGCCCCCACACGTCTCCCTGCACTGCAGCCAATGCGGGGGCTGGAGAGGAAGCCCACCCAGGACCCCTGCGACCCAGGAGTGGGCAGACAGCTCAGGAAAGTGTGGGCCAGCGTGGCCGGGGCCCAGTTTGGATGGAGGCCAGAGGTCGGGTTAGCAGGTCCAGAGTCACAGAAACCTCGAGGGCTGGCTTGAGGTAGCTCCCTGGGCCGCCCTGGGGTTGAGGCCTGGGGAGCTGGGTTAGCGCAGGGGGAGCACTGGCTGCTGCCCTGCTGGGATGTGGGATGCAGCTCCTGGACCTAGAGGCACCTCTGTTTGTGCCGGCTGCCACTGCAAGGGGCCTGTGGCCCCCAGACCCAGGAGTCCAGAGGGCATGCCTAACTTTTACTTTGGCTTGGTGAACTCTGCCCTGTGACGTCTGGGTTACCCAGGCCAACCTCCTTGGGAGACAGAATCCAGAGCACAGAACGTCCTTTCTCAAGAGAAGCCTACCGAGTCCGTGGCCCTGCGTGGGCTGGGAGACTCAGCAGAGAAGTGTGGGTTGTTGGGGGACCAGGGCGTCTGTCCAGGAGACCTGGGGCTTTAAAGAGGAGCTGAGCCCCAGGCACAGTGGCCAGGGCTTCAAGGAGGGGAGCGGAGGGACCACGAGGCCCATTAGGGCTCGGGGTTGGGCGCCATCCGCACGTGGCTGCGTGGTTTTCTAAAATTTGCAGAATGAAGATGTTTTCAACTGTCAGTGGTTAAGACCAAGTCACCAGGAAGGACGGGTCCCACTGCCCTCGTGGAAGGGCAGCAGCGCGGGGACCAGCCAGGGGCCTCATGTGGGGAGAGGCATGTGGGGTTCTCAGGTTACTGCACCCCCGGCAAGGACAGCGTGGCTTTCAGGAGGCGGGAAAGGCAGAGGCAGGCCTGTTCGGGGGGAGCTCCCCCCGAATTCAGCCTGAAGTTCAGCACGGGGGTGGGGGACGGGCCCTTGGGGTCTCGGGACCTGAACCTCCTGCCTGGAAGCTTCTCTATTTTGTCCACGAACCCCTCACAGCAATCCGTCGCCTCACCGTTCCCCGCAGGAGACCCCCGCTGTACCCGCTCTGGCCCCCAGCCCCGGGCCCGCCCTCACCTCACCTTGCGGGCTGCTCCCGTGGCGCAGACACAGTGAGCCGCGGACCCCGCCCGCTGACGCCCCGCGGCCACTCGCCCCTGCAGCCCCAGGCCTCCGTCGATGCCTGCGGATGCGGCGGCTCAAGGTCCAGGGTAAAGCCACTGCTGCACAAACGGAAAGTGTGCATTGAGGGGGATGTGATCCCCGAAGTACCCTTGGGGATGGGGGCACCGAGCACCGAGGAGGGGAAGCCGTCCTCGTAAGCCAGTCCCAAGGATGAGGGAGACAAGCCCGAGGGGCGCGGCGGCTCCCAGGGCACGTGGACTCAGGTACCCGCAACAGCGTGTCCTCGGCACTGTGGCTTGAACCGTGTCTGAGGAAGGTCGGGCCGCTCTGGCCGCAGGGAAGGGGCGGCCAGGAGGACATGGGGGCGCAGTGGGCCGCTCGTCCTGGGACTGGAGGGGCAGGGCTGGGGACAGAGCCCCCGAGTGGCAACAGGGGACCTGAAGCCGCGAGCCCAGACCGCTGAGGACAGAGGGGCTGTGCTCCCCACCCCTGGGCCCGGCCTGTGGAGCAGGTTCTAGTCCGCACAGCTGCCGTGCGCCTGTGCCCCCGACGTTTTGTTTCGGGGGCACCAGGGCCTGGGGGACGGACAGGCGAGGACAGCCCTGGTTCTCATCCTGGTTCTGGAGTCTTGGGGCAATCCCTGTCGTGTCCCCAGCGGCTGTGCTTCCAGCAGGCAGCCGTCGGAGGTGGGGGGGGGGGACGGTGCCCCGCGTGTATCTGGGGGCCAGCCAACCGGGCCGGAGGCCACAGGCCTCCCACATCCTCTCCCTCCTACGCACACGGGCCCCCACCTCGGGGACACACAGGCCCCGCAGGGCGACGGAGATGGACACAGGCTGTGCGCGGGGAGTGGGGACGTCTGGGAATTCGTGAGGCCCTAAAACCCCGGGACATGCTCTGGCGTCCCGATAGGGACACTCCCGCGCGGCTGAGGCCCCAGCTCCCTTTTCCACAGATGAGGTGCTCTCTTCTCTGCCAAACGCGCGCGTCACAGACGAGGTCGCAGGGTCCTCACGCCAGCACGGAACAGCGGCTCTGAGGCTAGCGCTGTGCCGCCCTGAGTCCTGGGGGCTCATGCGGGAGACTCCGCGCCACGGGGTGGGTGATAGTGACAGACACGGTCCCCCCGGACTTGATGGGGAGCAGAGCGGGGCCGTCCTCACCTGTGAGTGTCGGGTGGGTGCTGGGGGGGGTGACTGTCACTGCAGGATCCCCGTGGCAACAGGACACGCCCCACAGCTCTGAGACACCCCCGCATGTCTGCGAGGACAGCCCCAGGGCCGGTGGGCCTCCGGGGAACCCCTCCACACACAGCCTGTGTGGGGCGCATCGCCCCAAACCCAAGGCAGGCCGGGGACTGGCAGGGCCGGCCTCCTGCTGACAAAGGCCCTGAATGCGCACCCGGGCCGTGAGCCTGTGGACGCGCTCCCCTGGCTTGAGGGCATCGTCCCTGCTCCGTGGGGATTCGGGGCCGCAGGGCTCCAGCGGTGAGGCCGGTGACTGCCTCAGCTTCAGAGTCCAGGGACTGTGGTGGGACAGTCCGGGGCGGCAGGCACAGGACACCAGGCTGCAAGGGGACAGACAGAGAGGAGGTGGCCACAGCGCTTGCAAGGAAGAAAGACCGCTGTCGGCGGGCAGTGGGCCGCGCCCCAGAGAGAGGCTGAGAATCTGCTTGGTGCCTCCCAGGCCGGCCCTGGCCGTCCCCTCTGTGGTGCGGAGTCCCCCGCGTCGGGGCCTTGTTAATGGATCTGTCGGCAACACGGCCGAGTTCTCACTTTTCTGGGAGGTCAGATCACCGGCCCCTGCGCGGCTCACCCCATTTGTGTCCCAACAGCACCTGAACGCTGGGTTCATGTGTTCCTGTCGCCGTCACGCTCACGGGGCCGCACACGCGCCCAGGGACGCTCCTTCCCAGTCGTCTGCGTGACCGGCCCTGCCCCCGCCGTGTGTGGCGTCCTCTTCCCACAGGGGATACCCTGCCCTGGGAGGGGTCCCGTGGGCCGAAAGCTGGCCAGGAACCGGGCTCCCGGTAGGGGCGGGAAGGGATGGGAAGGTCCGTGAGGAGCCGAGGCCACCCTGGGGAGACTGAGGCAGGCATAGGTCCTCGCGCCTCCCTCGTGGCCACGCACACGTCCCGGGAGCCGCGCGGCGGGAGCAGGCTTGCCGGTCTGTGCTGATGAGAACCCATCCAGCTCCCTCTCCCGCCAGACAGGCTGAGGTCAGAGCGGATTCTCCTCACTCCAGCGCGTGTGCTGCGTCCAAACCCCCTCCCAGAGCCTCGTGCCCCATGCGCTACGTCCGCGTGTCCTGCCGCTCTGTGACCCAGCTCTGAGCCGCCTCCACCCAAGGAGTCCCTGTGGCCGTGGGGACGGCACGACACACGCTTCTCCATCAGCGCAAGGCCAGCTGTCGGCCGGGGGACTTCACGCTGTGCTGGGCTCCCAGGGCCCCGGATCCCACGCACGACCCCCGCGCAGAGAGCCCCCCGCCATGTGTCACCCATCACAGCCAGCTCTGGGACGTTGGCTGGGGACGGCGCGCCATTACGAGGAGGAATAATGACACGAAACATCTGCTCTCTGAGGCGTGTTTGCGCAAACCCGGCATCTTGTAGGCGCGGGAACGGGCTTCACCGCTGAGGAAAGTGCATGGGTCAGACAGCGGCTCGAGCCCCCCGGGCTGTGGCTCTGGAGCCACCGCAGCCCCGGAGCCCCATCTGGGCTTCACAGCTTCCCCGCCGGCCAGCAGACTCCCAGCTCCTTCCGCTTGGCCCTGAGAGCCAAGAGCGCCGCCCCCACATCCCCGGCCCGCAGGGCTCCTGGGACCCGCGCTTCTCGCTGGGCGTCCCCAGCTCCTTGATGACAGGTCAGCGTGGTGACCTGTTCCTGGGAAAACAACAGGCTCATGAAGTCCAAGGTGAACGAGCTTATGTTAGGACACACGTCATCCGGTACAGACGGGAGACCCGTCGCCGGGGTGCAAGCCCGCTAACCCTAACCCGCCCCTGCCCCTCCTTCACCTGGGTTTCTGGGCGGCGGCTCCGCCCCCTCGCTGCACGTGCCTCGCCTGGGCCCCAAACCCCAGGCACCGCAGCGTTTCTGCCACGTGCTTCCGGCAGGGCGACACGCACAGAATCACCAGCAGCTTCGCGTCCCCTCCTTTAGAATAAGAAGCAACGGCCTGTGAAAAGAGCCTGAGATGCCGCCCTGCACCCCGCCACGTGCATCGGGGATCCTCTTAGAGGGAGAAGCTGTAACGTGAACACTGGATGCAGCCCGGCCTCTTCCTGAGGAGAAAGCCCATCTGCACAGAGAGGGAGGAGACGCATAGAAAGTCTAGAACATTCTATCCCAGCTATCCTCAGGGCGAGTGGTGGCCTGGAGAAGAGCAGACCATCCCCTTCAGTCCTGCTCTCTGTGAGGACCTCAGCCTGGGTTTCTGGGACATGCAACCAATGCATGGCACGAACACGGGGACATGGGCCAGAGGCCAGCACGCTCCGTGGGCCCACGCGGGCTCAGCAGCGCGAGCCCTCCGCATACCCGACAGGATGGGACACGGGACACAAAGGAGCCGAGCACCTACCCGGGGAGCTTGCCAGGCCCGTGCAAACCAAGCAGCCCAGTGCACAGTGACACAGAGAACGTGCAGGGAGTGCACAGTGACCTGGGGGCCGGGACGTCCCCCAGGGAGGTATGGCCAGGAGGAGCAAGGCCCCCCAGGGCAGGGGACAGGGTGGCGTGGCACCCGGGTGTCCTGTGGTCTGGGGCCTCTCCGGGTGGGGGACCCTCACGTTACCGAGAACGTCCTGGAGAAAGCGGGTGAGCTGGCTGTTGCGGTAGGGGATGTGGTCTCTGTGCTCCGCCAGGGCCCCCAGGACGTCCGCGAGGGCTGCCAGGCTCCGGTTTATGAACGAAGTCTCCCTGAGGGCCGTTCCTGTCACTCCAGACACACCTGGGACAGCACCAAGACCCCATCACGTGGTCAGCATGGGCAACAAGTTCTCTGGCCACATCAAGAAATGAACAGGAAGAGCAACACCGTCCCTCCTCGGGACGGGAGCCCTGAGTGGGGGGACCCTTGGTCCCATCGACCTTCTCCTCTGATGGCCTGCACGGCCTCGGCTGGGAGCAGCTGGCAGTGCAGAGCCCTGGAGCGGGACACGGCCGTGGACAGACCGCGGCCCGCTGGGCGGAGCAGGGTGAGCTTGCTCGAGACGGGAACCCTGCTCAGGCCCCCCACACCCCCGCTCGCCCCAGATGGAGGCACCCGCTCCGGGCTCACCCGCACACTCGCTGCCCGCCAGGTCCACGAGCTGCAGCTTGGCGTGCACCTGCTCCCCCGATCGCTGGGCCCCGGGGGACCCGGGTGAGGCTCTGCCGCCTGCTGGCTGCCCCTGGAGCTGTGGTCTGAGTGACTGCCCGTCCGCTGCAAGGGGGTGACAGGAACCCGGGAGTGATGTCCACGAGGCCTCCCTCAGCTTCCCGCGGTGCCGGAGAGCGAGCCTTCCTCCCGAAGGACCGCACTCCAGAGGGCACTTCCTCGGACGGACAGCCCAGCAGGGTCTGGCCATGGGACGGGGCTTCTCTGAGTCACATAGGGACGGACAGCATCAGCCTCAGAAGGCAGGCCGGAGCCCACGTGGTCCCAGGAACAGAGTGATGTTCCGGAAGTACTCAATGATGACACGCATTAATACCCAAGGGGCCCCGACGGAGGTGAACCCCGCCGTTCGCTTCCCAGCCCCCCACAGAAGTCCTGGCAAAGCCCTTCCTCACTTCACTGTGCGTCCGTTTCATCAAGCGTTAATCCTAAGTGGTCTTCTTAAAGAGATTTTTTAAATCTAAATTATATACTCACTGTGGAAAGCATAAAAAATACACACAAAAATACCACTCTGGTCTCCACAGCCTTCTCACCGTGGCTGGCGACCACTGGCTCCTGGACGATGCCTGCCCACACGGCCCCGCCCTCCCTGCAGGCGCCTGGCCCTGGGGCCATCCGGCCGAGTTCGGGGGACACGGTAGTCAGGCATCCGTGCCGCTCCCACCCGCCCCCGTCCTCCCTTGCCTGGGCCGCCTTGGTGGCCACGGGGTCAGGGGTGTGCCGCCCACCGGGACCAGGCGTCCGTGTGACCGCGTGTGAAGTGGGCCCTGGACCAGCCATCCCCCGCTGGTGCACTGTGGCACCAGGAACCTGCAGAAACACGGGTGCTCAACGCGTCCGTCCCAGCCTGGGGGCTTGTGCTTTGCGAGTCCCGCCCTGGGTGCCCGCCCCATCTTCGCCGACTGGGACGCATGACCCTCGCAACATGTGCCTTTTCTTACATAACTGGCACCATTTTACATTCTGGTTTGTGACCTTCTAAACCCAAGTCACACAGTCTCTCTCACGGAGCAGGAATCCCGTTCCCAGATACAAACGCGCCTGTCCTCCATGGTATGTCCTAACGAAGCCTTGCCCTCTGTTCCCCCCACAGCCCCCGTCCCCTCTCTTCTCAGCCCGGGTTCCGGATCCCCCAAAGGTGTGTTTGCGACCCCCACCCCCAGGCCGTGGGCCATTTCTCCTCCGTGCCCCTGCCCGGGCGCACACGGCCGCTTACCGGGGCTGCCGCCGGCAGGGGCTGCGGTGAGAGTGGCCGTTATTATCAGGTGGGACCTGGAAGAACAGGCGTGCACACTGGTGGCGAGCCGTGCCCGGAACTGCAGGCTTCCAGCAGCAAGCGCGACGAAGTCCTCCGCACTGTGCACGGGCCTGGAGGGCACACGGGGGATGGGGACGCCCGCGGGGCGACGAGGGACGCCCGCTCCCTCTCCCACAGACCAAGCGGGCTGACTGGAGGAAAGCAGGCTGGAGCGTGTCTTAGACAAAACAAAACAGCAAGTCAAACCCCTTCCTTGTCTGAGGCCTCACTGACGCGTCCTCCACGGCTTTCCTCTGGAGTGGTCACCTGGGCCCGCAATTTCCAGTCCCGCATTCCTTTACGTAGTGCGGCCCCGTGGACTCCAGCAGAAGTCCGGGTCCCTGCTCTAGCCGCTGAGCCATGACAGCCACTCAGAGCATCCCACCGGTGGGACCTGGATCGTTGCGAGTCTTAGTAGAAGCTGAGGGTTTGGGTTACCCCGTGCAGGCTCACGGCTCAAGGCACCTGGTTTTCTTCAGATGCGAGAACAAGCTGCAGACGCTTCCCGTACTGACTCTAAGAGCCCGGGACAGGCTCACCCCCCAACCCTCATTAGCAAAGGGAGACCGCCTCCCCCTGCCCCCTGTGAGCCCCCCCGACACCCAGAGGTGGATCCAGGGAACAGGTGTATCAGGCAAAGCGAGGAGACTTCCTTCTTCACCACACAGAGGCTTACTGTGTTCTCTCAAATACGGACCCGCACAAGCGGACATGAGGGCGTGTGCACTTAACCGCGGGTCGGCGGGTGGGGGGTCCGCTGTTGCGAGCCCACTCCCTCGTCTGGAATGTGGGTACAGGACCGGTCCCACACGTTTGTCATCAGGATATTTTAAAAGGTTAGTTAACGTGTCTGTTGTCATTGTGATTTTAAAAAGATAATTTCTAAAGCAAATTGAAAGATGCAGATGCGTTCTAAGGCAACACAGAGAACCTTCCAGCGATAAACGCGCCGGTCTGGCCCACGCGCTGGTCTTACACGGGGTCCAGGGGAAGCCACCGGCCGCTCAGAGAGGCCAGGCCACAGCTGAGTACTCACACTCGGGTGGGCAGCGCCACCTCCCGCTTTGTGGCCTTGGTCATTGGCGCCTCCCGCGGGGGCCCAGACACCGCTGGATGCCGCTCTTTGGCCAGAAGGTCCAAAATGTCGTTATTATACACTTCCACTATGGACACGTCAACCTTCAGGCTCCTGGATGGGTTTTCTGAAATAAGCCTGGGGGGTGGGACAGGAGGGGCTCAGCCATTGTGTAACTCGGGCCGCCCGGTGAGGAGAGCTGCCAGGGAAGCCATCTCATGGGGGAGGCTACAGTCCCGGCCTCGCAGCGAGACTCCCGGCCGGTGAGCACCCGCGGGCACCAGACGGCCTGCAACCACCGGCAGGAGGAGGGCCTGTTCTCGTCCAGCTGCAGGGGGCTACCGTCTTGGGAACAGTGGCTTTCCCTGAGCCGTACCTGGATCAGTGATCTCAGCCCTCGGAAAGGGCCCTTAGGATCCCAAGCCCAGGAGGGCAGGAAGCAGGGAGGACACGCAGCTGCCACGCAGCCAGCCCCCGGCCCGAGGCCCCTCACTCTGCAGAAGGCCGAAGCCAGCTGCGACGACAGGAGGGCTCGGCACCTTTCCGGGGCCGGGTTAGCTCTGTTCCAGGGAGGACGGAGTGCAGACCCCTCTGCAGCCCGGCTCGCGCCCCGATGTCCAGCCAAGTCCTGCCCGTGCCCTCCTGACAACCCACCAGCCTCTCAGAAACAACACGTCTTGTCCCGACGCATCTGGTAAAGTGCTGTGTGCCGACTGTGGAGAGGTTTAAAAATACTGATACTACCCACTTGGAGAAAAACCCCATAACCCCAGTCAGGGGAAGAGTGACCACCAGCCTGGCTCCTCCTGCCCACGTTCCTGCCAGCGCCTTGCCACCAAACTGCCCACACAGCCCACGGAGGCCGCCCTGTCTTCTGGGACCACTGCCTGCCTGACACGTGCATGGCGAGAGTGCAGTCGGAGTCGGACGACAGTTCTGTCTTGTGCACAAAGAAATTCTGTGCCCGGGGCCGGGAGGCCAGTGTTGGAGGAGCGTTTCTGGAACATGCGGCGTCTCATGCCAGCACGGACAGATCGAGTTTACTTAGGAGCTCCAGAGAGCCCAGAATAAAATGAGCAATTAATGTCTTCCAATGACACAGTCAAGAAAACAAGAAAGTCCAAAACGGAAGAAAAATTCTCCAGTAAGAATAATTTTCGGTTCAGAGTTCGGGTTTGGGTCGTCCTCTGCGCTGGGGTCTGTGGACAAGACTGAGGGTAACCGTGGGAAGAGCGAGGAGCCAGGTCAGCCGAGCTGGGGGCTGGGCGTCCCCCGCGGCTCCGGCCACCATGTCCTTGAGCCTGACCCCCGCCTGCGTTTCCGTCCCCTCGTAGGAACGGCCGTGTCTTCCCAAGTCGCAAAACCCGAATTTGGAATTTCTCATCTACATAATACCAGGGAGCTGATTTGAAGATTTTCTTCCACTACGTTAAGTCCTCGACCAGCGCCATTCACTGGCCCGCGGGTCCCTCTGGCAGCGTTGCTCGATTCCGCGGACGGTGCCGACGAAGCAGGCGCCAGGCTTCGCCTTGAGGAAGCGAGTGGTCAGCGGGCAGCACGCGGGGACAGTCACAGCGCCGTGTGGGGCATGTTCCACAGAAGCACGTGCGGGTCCCGTGAGGCCACGAAGCGGGGAGCCCCTCATCCCGTGCATCGCCCAGATCCTCGCGGCGTCGCTCCGGGGCTGCCGAGGGCCGGCGATGGTCACACGCTCCACCTTCCTGGGGCATCAGCTGCCGCTTGGAAGAGCCTCCTCTCGTCGGTGGCAAGTGGAGATGGGCTGCGAAGGAGGTGGCGTCACCGGGCTCGGAAGGGGCCAGGCGCCAGAGTGAAGGAGCTCGGAGTGGCAGGGGCGGCGAGGACCCCGGAGCCCGGAATGGCAGCAGCCCCCGGCCCCCCTCTCTGCGGCAGACACTGCAAGACCATCTCCGCGGCTCCTGGTCTCTCGGGACCCCTCCCTCCACGTGACACCCAGCAAAGCCCAGAGCGGCAGCGGCTCTGCTGTGGCCTCCCCTGGCCGCTGCTCAGCTTCTGGGCAACGTGGCTGCTGTCAGGTGAGGTCTCCCCGGAGGAGGAGGACGTGCTCTCCTGAGCACGCCTCGGGCTCCCCCTACAGTCCCAGCCCCTTGAAATTCCGAAACAACTAAACAGCTGATGGAGAGCCGTGTCCCCAGAGGGAGGGCGCTGGCACCCGAGATCCCAGCCCCGCCCCAGGGAACCCCGAGGCCTGGGCTGGCTGGCGTTGAGCCTTCCTGGGCCGAGCCTTGAGGCTGGGGTGGCGTGCTCCCCGCGGGGAAGTCCTCCGCAGGGCTGGTGCCCGCCCCACACCCCCTCCGCCCCCACTGCCCACAGACACATGCGTGGGAGTGGGGCCCCTGCACGGTGCCCGAGTCGGCCTCACCGCCACTGAGACCTCCGGAGCGGTGGCTACACAGCAACAGCCTCACCGGCCCCCAAATGTGCTTCTCCGACGTAGTTAGCGGAACAAGCTTAGCAAACGCGTTCTCCGTGTGCACTAACACAAGGATCATTGGTTTGAAGATGCTTCAACATGTGAGGCCTGTGTGGGGTTCTTCCGTCCTTGTCCCGTCGCGATTCTAAGCCATGAGAAGCTCGGCAAGGAGACACAGACAGAACCCGAATCTGAGGGGGCGGGGGGCCTGGAACGCACCCAGCCCGCCGGAGACCTGTGCCGGGAAGACGCTTCTCTCGGGGGCAGAGAGATTCGCAGGGACACGGCACAGACGGCCGCAGAGTGAGGCCACGGCGCTTACAGAGCAGGGTGAGTGGAGGGAGAATGAGTGTGGTGCACAGTGGCCCCTGAAGGCAGGGACAGTCAGTGTGCAGGCCTAGAGCACGGAATTTCCCAGCTTTGTTCCTGGATTCCCTGGTCGCTTGGGCGGTCGAGGACACCCTGTTACTAATTTTTTTCCAGGAGTAACTGTGTTGGTAAGATCACCAGAGTGCGGTGGGTCTCCTCCAGGAAGGTTTTCCCAGACCAGAAGCATCTTCAATAGGCCCAGCTCACCCTAACTTCGAAGAAGAAAACCAGATGTGTCCCCTCTTTCCAGGCCAGGAGGCAAGGAAAGGCAACAGGGGTCTCCCTCTGTCTCCATCGCAATCTAGGACAGAAAACTTCCACGCTCTACCCTCTCCTGACCAGGGTGGCTGTCCAGCCCTTGCAAGAAGTTCTGATTTGGGGTGCCCGGGCGGCTCAGCATCCGCCTCTTGATTTCAGCCCAGGTCAGGATTTCAGGGTCGTGAGCTCGAGTCCTGGGTCGGGTCCCATGCCCAGCTGGGATTCTGCTTGAGACTCTCTCTCTCCCTCGGCCCCCACAAAATAAATAAATGAAAATCTTTAAAAAGAAAAAAAAAGCAAACTTAAAAAAAAAATGTTTTGTCTCGACAGAATTTCAACATAAATGTGCCATAAGAATTTCTGGTGTTTGTGGTACTGAGGGCCCGAGCGTTTAAACACTGGGTCGCACGCGTTCCGGTAGGAGCGTGGGGCTGCGGGGGTGGGCGGGCTCGGGCGGACTCTCTGCAGACAGTAGCGCTCCGGCCCTCCCTTCCCCGTGCTGCCCGCCTCCCACCCTCCCCGCTCGGCTCGCCGCCCCCACGTACCTGAAGAGCTCCCCAGCAGCCCTGGGCACGATTCCGAGGTCGCCACGCTCGTCCTTAGAACGCGGACCCAGCATGGTGTAGCTCTTCCCGCATCCGGTCTGCCCGTAAGCCAGGATGCAGACGTTGTACCTGAAACCCGACGCGGGCCTCAGCACAGCCCGCAGCACCCTGGGTCCTGAGCGCGTGCTCGCGGAGCGCTCACTCGGTCGCAGAAGTCCCTGCACCGCACACGTCGCTCTGCGTTCCTGCTCCCCGCCCCTTGCTCCTCCTCGGGCTTCCACAGGAGCTGGTTTTCGCGGGACCCCTGGGGCCGTTTGGTCACGCAGTGTCAGGCCGAACCACACTCACCTTCGCACCCGCTCCACACGCTCCTGCCGGCACCTGCTTCCCCTCCGTGACTCCACATCTCCTCTGGGAGCCCACGGCTGGCACACAGGGTCCACACTGGGGTCCCCCCGCCCCCCGCAAGACCCCTCGTGCTCCCCACCCACTCCGTCAGGGCAGGGCTGGGGTCGTCCGACAAAGCTCATCTTGGTAAACGCGGGCTGCTTCTAACACGTGTGAAACAGCCCTTCCCTGGGGTTTCCCCGTCACACATGGGACCTTGAGCGCGGCGGACGGTTCCCCCGTTACTGGTTCTTAGACTCTGTTATTCCAGGGGGCTTGATGATTCCGTGTCCGCAGTGAGCCAGAACGCGCCAACGCGGTCTCCGTGACAGGCGCGCTATCCCCCCACCCAACAGCTCCGGATCATGTCACAAGGAGAGGGACAGTTGCTGCCTCCCTGCATTTCCTTCCAGCTGTTTCTTCAGCCCGAAATGTCAGTGGGAAGACTGGAACATCACATCAAAAGACTATTTAAAATAGATATAAACTTATATGATAGGATAAGCATTTACGATATAAACATATAAATGATACAAATGTGTAACCTTGGCCAGGAAGGGACGGCTGATCCAGGCCCCTCGGTCTTGGAGGGGCGAGACGGTCCCCACGCAGGCCCCACCTCGAGTGTCTGATTTCACAGACGGACTTTAATCAGATGGCTTTTTCGCCTGAGGCACCCCCAGCAAGTCCCACTAGCAGAGGCCTGTTCCCAGGAGTGGGGCCAGTGCTCCTGCTCACCGGCCTCGCGCGCAGCGATGGGGGCCTCCCTCCAGGACGGACTGTTCCGTCCTGCAGGAAGCACGTCAGGGCAAAGACCCAGCCAGGACCTCCCGGCCACCGCCCTGCATTGTTGGTCTTCCGGAGCGGAGAAGTCTCAAGGTCTTCACAACAACAACCTCGCCTCGTTCCCATCTCGCACCTTCCTGAGGGCTTGCTGGGCGCTTCTCCGGTGGGAGCACCTTGGTCTCAGCAGAGCCAGAGCCCCTACAGGCACCTTCGGAACCCTCAGGAATGCAGAAGCCTCTTGGAGAAAGCAGCTCAGCACTGAGAACAATGCCATCTGTTTCACATTTGGGATGGAAAGGCAAGTCTGGCAAAGATCATTTAACCACTGTGTCTTTTTCATTTCTGGAATCTGCTTACTTAAGAGAGGCCTACTGAAAAAAGGAAAAAAGAGCCCTCCTATCATTTTCCACGGAAGAACTTTTTTTGGATGCCTCTAAGAGCCCCAGCATTCCAGAAGAAGCGTGTCAGGAGAAACCGTGTCATCGCGGGAGGCCCGGCCCCACAGGTGGGTGCAAGGGGAGGCCCGGGGTTCCTGTGGGGACATGACCCATCGCCTCCTATGCCTTTCAGGCCCCTGGGATGGGCTTCAGTGCTGGGGCACCGTGGGCAGAACCAGGGCTATGCTGACGGCTTCTGGTCTGTGGACGTTGGCTGTGGGAGCCTCTGCCAGGCCAGCACCAGGACGCCTCCTTCAGGCGGCTGAATGCAGGCTCCTCCGCCCAATTGGGCTTCTTCCCGGCATCCCAAGGTAGGAAGTCTTGGCGTCTTGTGTCACCACACAAACCTGGTTCTGTTTGTTGCCGGGAACCCCCGCGTGGACCCTGAGTGCAGGGCGCCTGCAGTGGGCTCCCACCGTGTAAAGATGTGATCTTTACTCAGAAGGAATGACCCGTGGCCTTGGGACTTGGCAGTCATGTGTCCGGAGCCAGGGGCTCTCATCCCAAAAGAGTGATGCGTTCCTTGGTCCAGTATCAACATGCAGCACAGCCTTCCTGAAAATTCTAAAATGCAGGGAGAGTCCCAGAGAGCACAAGGGCAGCCGCTCACTGTCTTCACACGCATGAGGACCGGAGAGTAGGAGCCCACTGACAGCCGCTCCTCAAGTCCTGGGTGGCCCTTTTGCTGGCAGGCAGACCAAATCCCCCCTCCCCCCACCACTGGACAGTAATCGCTCTGGGGCTATGGGTTTGCTCTAATATTGTCGCAAATGCACCGACTCCAAGGTCACATTCTGTAACACGAGTGAGACCTACTTAGAGTTCCTCGTAACTCTGATCACCGACCTTGAAGATATGTCAACTCACCCGTCCAGGAGAGACGTAAGCAGCGGGCACACATCCGCAAACACCACTTGCTGAGACTCTGCCGGACCATAAACCCTGAGATACAAAGGGAAATGAGAGATGTACGTTAGGAACCAAATATGAGAAACAAGAGCCTCACCCACTCCCATCTAAGCCTCCAGCACAGTCGGGATCCATCATTTCGACAGTAAGAGATCAACCCATTACCTTTCAGGCTAACAGGGGTTAAGAGAGACTGGAGAAATGTCTCCTCCATCATAAAAACACAATTATGAACGCTTGTAAAGCAGAAAGAAAGAGCAAGCCAGCAAGAAGAGAAGAAAGGATACCATGTAATTATCCTGGGACTAAATTAGGTCCACTTAAGTGGGTCCAACAAGAATAATGTAAAAATCATACTCTGGGCAACACAGGGTATGCAATATTTAATTCTTATGTTCAAGCTCTCCAAAGCGGTGTTCTCCTAGGCCCGGGGTTAGTTCAGCAGAATATCCGTCCCCGTCATGGGACTGGAATGTCGGCTATGGAAACGGGAATCCCATGTTTATAAGCGCGCACAAACTGAGCTAAGTAGGAAGGAGCTACTAAAAAGTGCAGCTCGTCGCACAATTTGAAACAAGACTGGAATGCAGCTGAAAGCAGAATTTGGGCCAGACTCCCAAATGTATGAACTAAGCATTAGTGGTCTGTTGTATTAGAGCCCATGTGCTTTGCATTTAAGCTTAGACGTCTGGATACCGACACCAAATATTTCCTTCTTCCATTTTCAGAATGTCTCATCGTGGCCAATGGACCCAGAGTATCTCCAGAAGCAGCAGTAATTTTAAGCATATCAAATGTTCTCATTGTGCCTGATCAGGAAGGCATTTGGAGCAAGTGGTATGGTGCTGAGCTCTTGAATCTTATTTTTTTTTAAGATTTATTTATTTATTACTTTAGAGAGAGAGCAGGGAGGGGTGGAGGAGCAGAGGGGGAGAGAGAGAGAATCCCAAGCAAGCTCTGCGCTCAGCAGAACGTCCATTTAATGCGGGACTTGATCCCACGACCCAGAGATCACAACCTCAGATAAAACCAAAAGTCAGACGCTGAACCTACTGAGCCACCCAGGGGGCCCCTTGAATCTTTATTTTTTTTTAATTTGATTTATTTATTTGACAGACAGAGATCACAAGCAGGCAGAAAAATAGGCAGAGAGAGAGGGAGAAGCAGGCTCCCTGCGGAGCAGAGCGCCCGAGGCGGGGCTCGATCCCAGGACCCTGAGATCATGACCTGAGCCCAAGGCAGAGGCTTAACCCACGGAGCCCCCCAGGCGCCCCTTGAATCTTTTTTTTTTTTAACTTATCACGGAATTCCCCGTGGCAGGCTACTTGGCGCAAGCCCGCAGCCCCGCACTTGGAGCCTGTGGAAGCTGACCTAGCAAATGTTTCAGTTCGTGCCTGAAAAGAATGAAGACTTTTCCGAAAAACATCATGATGGTGCTTACCATTACCACATTTTAAAGAATTAATGGTTATTCCTTAACATCATCCCCCAAAGTCAGTCTGTGTTGTCTATTTCTCCAGTTCTCCAGTAAGCTCACTTTTCCTGTTGGTTTTTAAAACTCATGATTCAAACAAGGCATCCCCGTGGCCACTGGCCCAATGCCTTCCACAGCTCTAGTCCACTGCAGGGGTCCGCAGACTTTTCCTAACTCGTAAGCAGTTTAGGTTTGGTGAGCATCTTACTTAAACACTCGGGTCTTTCCCACCAACATGAAGCCAAGGTCAAAGGTGCTGCCACCTATACTTTGTAACATTGTATCGAGTCATTACTCAGGAACACAGCAGCTGGACACAATGAAGCATCTGCTTACAGAAAATGGGGGGCAGGGGCTGTGAAGCCTGCGCTGGCAGCACCTGCGGGAGCTGAGACAAATGCAGAATTAGACCCAACTACGCCCGGCTTGTAGGATAAAGGAGACATCTCAGATTATTGGGGAAAAGCTTGTTTCACTAAGTGTTATGGCTGTACCTACGTAGGCACATGGAAAAAAGTGAGATCATTCCATTCCTAAGATATTAATTATTCTAAAATACATCCCAAACAGATCACAAGTTTAATGTAAAAAATAAACCATAGGAGGGTTGCCTGGGTGGCTCAGTCGGTGAGGCGTCTGCCATCGGCTCAGGTTACGATCTCAGGGTCCTGGGATCCAACCCCCCATCGGGCTCCCTGCTCGGTGGGGAGTCTACTTGTCCCTTTGACCCTCGCCATTCTCGTGTTCTCTCTCTCACTCTCTCCTTCTCTCTCTCAAATAAATAAACAAAATCTTTTAAAAAAAGGAAATGCTTGTTAAAAAATAAAAAATAAACCACAGGATTACTAGGAGAAGATGTGGGTATATTTTTCTCTAACCTGGTGACCTTTGTAACTGTAATTAAGTTAAAAGGGAAAAAGCTTTGGTGTGGCTAAGCGATTTCAGGAAAACAAATACAAAGAACAAACTTGGAAAAAGACTTGCAACTTAAGTCACAGATAAAAGATCACTAACCCTAATGTATAAAGTGCTCCTGAAAATAAAGAAGAGAAAGGCCAATCCTCTCCGTGTTGAACTGTAACATTTCCTTCTCTTTAGGAATATGCTCTTTACGTCTCTCGAGACATTGGAAACCACTTCTCTGTCTTTGAAGAAGAGCGTCTAGAGACTCGAGCGCTCCCAGAGGAGGACTGTGCGTGCCTCTCTGCCACCTGAACGGACGTCCCGCCCCGCGAGAGAAGCCAGGCGCGGGGCGCATTTTGGCCATGGAGGGCATGGCCCATCGGGAAGGCCAGGCCGAGTGGGGGGCCTTCATTCCGCACAGCCAGCACCCCCACCGGCTCCAGCCCACCCCCAGCGCCCCTGCAGGCATCCGGGGGTCTCTGAGCTCTTCTCCTTTCTCTGTGCCTTGGACTGTTTTGTGTCCTGCTTAACTGAGCTGTCAGCACCCAGTTCCAAGGCCCCCGGGTCCCCTGCAGCCCTCCGCCTGCATGTCTGGGAGCTCGGGGAAGCCTCAAACTCGTGACCAGGGGCGTCAACACGAACATGTGGTAGGTCCACGACGGCGTAAACGCAGGTAAGGAGGGAAGGCAGCCAGGGGTCCTCCGGCCACTCGATATGAAAACTAGACTTGGGACAATAAAATTACTTATTATTTTTCTTAGGGCATTTTGGGACAATGGCTGTTACTTTTAGTTTGCCATTTTAACAAGTAATAATATATTTTTATTCTTCTTGGAAGGCACCAAGTATCCTCTGACTCTGGGACAATTCATGTTTTTCCTGAAGAGCGAGGAGTGCGTTTTCCTTTGACGCACAAATAAGGGGTTAAATACTGAACTGTTGAGATTTTCTTTCAGAACTGAAATAAAATATTTGGCATCTACTACTTCCATAAAAAGCTATTAGTTTCACAAAACAGCTTCATGAAAGGAGACAGTCCTGGCACCAAAACAGTATTTCCCCAGAATAAATTCCTGTGCAGATTTAAATTTAAGTTCTTGCTTCCTAACTTAGATGTATAGTGACTTGTGCGTACTCCTTCATTTATTTTTTTAAGATTTTATTTTTGTTATTTATTTGACAGAGGGAGACACAAGGAGAAAAGGAACACAAGCAGGGGGAGAGGGAGAGGAAGAGGCAGGTTTCCTCCTGAGCAGGGAGCCCGATGTGGGGCTCAATCCCAGGACCCTGGGACCATAACCTGAGCCAAAGGCAAATGTCTAACGACTGAGCACCCGAGGCGCCCCCCTTCATTTCTTTTTTTGTCCAAACACCACAATCGAGATCTTCCCCTTTAGTCCAAACCCCAGCCTGCGTGACCGCTGGTGCAGAGCCTCCCAAGAACCCTGGCATCTGAGGGAGGTGTGGCCACGTCTCTTCCCCACTCCCCAAAACAAGGTCCCGGTGTCGGCCGGCCCACGCCCCAGCGCCCTTACCAGCCCTTCTCGGTTCCCACAGGCGGCGCCTGGACTTCATTCCAGGAAGGCGTGTGACCCCTGGGCCTTGGTCCCCTCACCTGTGGCCCCTGCCCAGCTTTTGCTGAGAAGGTCGGGAGGCATGGCCACCTCCCCCCTTCCACACACACCTAACACCGAGGACACAGAACCAGAAACGCTGTGCAGGACACAGCCGGGAAGGACAGAGGGAGAGGAATGTTCGGCTGCAGGAGGAGAGGCCGCCGAGCGGCGGAGAAGCTGGAGCTGCCCTCCTGGGTGGCAGAGGGAAGGTGTGGGAGGACCCCAGGCTGGGCCCGTCCTCAGGAGGAGGCACACACAGGGACAGGGGGCCCAGGCCCTCCACAGGGGTGAGGCCCAAAGGGCGGGTACTGATAAACAGATGGTGGAGACTGTGTCGAAGGCTCTTGATGGGGTGAGGGTGTCCCCCAGGAGGAACCACAGCTGCAAACCCGCAGACCCTGTGACTGTGGACCGCGGCCCTGGGGTGGGGAAAGCCAAACCCGAGCAGTTCCATAAGGATGGGGTCCAAGTGTGGGGACTCCCTCCCAGCCTGGCCCCCCGAGACTGGCTGGTCTCAGGGTGAGAGGCCTGTGCTCCCTGGAGGCCCCCCACTCCGCTCCTGTAAATGGAAGCCCTTCTCTGACCCTGGGGGGCTGGCACCCCTCGAGGCCAGAGGCCTGTTGGGCCGCAGCTGCGGCCCTGTGCTGGGAATCCCTTCCCTGGCTGGACCAGCCCTCCGGGGAGAGTCACTTCCTACCCAGTCTGGACGTGTTCATCTGCTCCCGGCCAGCGGCGGTGGACGCCAGGGGACGGCGGGAGCAGCTCCCAGCAAGGAGGGAAGCACCGTGCTGAGCCCCTTGTCCTGGACGGGATCATTCACCGCAAAGACTCGAGAGGTTGCTGCTCAGAGACTGCCACCCCGGGACCATGTGCCTCAGTGACCCAGACGAGACCCCCGACATGTGGGGCGGCGGCTAGCTGGCTCTCCCCGACCTTCCCGGGAAACTCAGGGCATCAGCATTGCACTCTGGTGCGAGGTCTGTCCGGACACTCCGTCCGCTTGCTGAGCGGCCGTCCGTTCCCCTGTTTTCTGGGTACACGTGCTCGGGGAGCTTTGATTTCCGGGGGTTTGCTCCAGCGCCAGGCCTGCCGGCTCGTCCCCCCAACAAACTCGCACCATGGTTTCAGAGCGATCGGGCCGGCAGTTCTTTTCTCGTAGAGATCACGCTTTTAGTGGCGATTCTCAAGGTCACAAAGTCCTTCTCCTGTGTTTTCTGGTTTTATACTTTGTATCTAGGTCTAGATTCCATCCCGCTTACTGTTTGCAAAAGGTGCAGTGCCCAGGTCAGGGGTCACCTGCAGGGGACGCCGTGGGCCGAAGAGACCCCTTTGCTCCAAAGGGCGCCTGCTGCTCAGCCAGGAGCGGAAGGGGCAGGTGGCATCGTGAGCCTCGGGAACCGAACATCTGCGGGAAATCGGTGTTTCACATGGTTGTTACGCATTGAAGCACTTACCTCTCGAAACTATACGTCTTGTGGATCGAGCGGTGAGCCGGACGGTCCCATCTCACCAGGACGGTTTCCTAACAAAGCAAAGCAGACAGGCGGTAAGAGTCAGCCAGGGCCGCACGGAGAACACGGAGAACAAGTAGCCGAGGCTGGCTCGCCACCGCCCTCAGGCCCGTGCGGCCTGTCACTTGTTGGTGAAGGCGAGTTCCGGTGGCCACGGCCACGGCCCGGCTTACAGATTGTAGCGGACGCACTTGGCTGGGCCGCGCGGTGGAGCGACCAGACAGAGCCCGCAGGGTCCCCAGGACTGCAACGTTCGCTTCCCCCCGCGGGGCATGGCGGGCCCCTTCTCTGCATCGGACGGAAACGCAATGGCCCAGGACAGCGCCTCGCGGGGCACCCGACAGCTCGAGGCAGGTGCAAGACTCCCCCAGCGCTCACGAAGCCCCGTCTCAGACATGCTGTAATTCAATCATGGCTGCTGGTGCTAAGGGTTTTTTGTTTCTGTTCTTTTCCCAAATACATCAACTTATGATCATGCAACAGTATCCCCAACACCACCGCGCGCGGGAAGTGAAGACCGTTTCCAGTGGGAAGCCCAGCATCGGGTCACTCCTCCTCGGGCAAAGGGAGGATGAACACTTGGACTTGGTTCCTCTTCTAGAACGAGATGCAAATTCGCGAAAAGACAGTACGGGAAGATGTGAGAAAACAAACTCGCAGCTGCGGGGTGAGTGACCGGCGCACAGGCACGTTGCCGTGACGGCTGCGGCGGGATGTGCCGCCCCGTCTCCTCACGGCGCACACACGGCCGTGGGCTGCTCAGGAGCTGCAGACGTGCTGCGGGACCGTGTAGCTCTCCGTCCCCGGCGCGGCTGCTGGCCCTCCTGTCCGCCGCCCGCCGGGGCTGCAGGGTGCGCACTCCGCAAGGCCCCACTCTCGCCAGAGAGCTGTCCTCTCCGCGGTGAGCTGTCCTCACGGTGGAAAGCGAAGCGCTAGAGGACCACAGGGGCATCCGGGGAAGTCGGGCTGTGTGACAGTTCCTAAGCAGTCGCCTTGCCAACTTATCCAGCCAAGCATCTCGTGTCCTTGTCCCTTCCCAACACCCGCCGCCCCCCGAAGAGATGGCCCCCTCGCCTCTCCTGAGCTGGCCTCTGTGTCCCCAGCTTGGTGCCCTTCAGGCTCTCTTTAGGTCGCTGCCTTAGGAAACTTCTTGAAATGTAAACGAAACAGAAAGGGGACAGTGTGACAAAGAGAAGCGTGTGCAGTGGCCCCCGGGGGGGCTGACGGGTCACTCGGGTCCTTCTCTCCAGAGATTAGTTGCCCCTGGCAGAGCCGGAGGCCGCTTGCTACCACAGTGGAGTGTTCAGCAGCACCGATGGGGTGGAAACCCAGTCCACGGTGACTTCGGCCAGCAAGGAGCAGGGCCTCCAGCTGCCACCTCCTGCGTGCCATGACTCCCAGACGCCTTCTCCGGGTGACACACGGAGACTTGTGCACGGCTGCATCCCAGCCTGGCTCTCCAGGGCAAGGTCTTATTCACAGGGGAGTCGCCAGCAGAGAGGTCATCACCCCACGGAGGGTCTCTCGAGCCCCTGCTGCGCTCCCAGGGCGGTTTCAGGCGCCGTCTAGCCTCGCGCGGTGACAGCCATGTTGCGATGTCACAGTGGTCATATTGTCCACAGCAGAAGTAGCTCCTCAGTCTTCTCCACTCCTGACCCTGAAAGAACGGGCTCCCTAGCCCCGGGACGGAGGTACAGACAGGATGCTGGGAGCAGAGCCCATATCCCGGGCTCCCAAACCCAGAATCCGACCGCAGCCCCGGGCCCTGCCCCCTCCCAGAGGCATCATTTCCCTTTTCCGTTGCCTGATCCTGGTGGTATTCCTTTAATATTATGCCAAGATGGATCCCCAGTGCCTCACGGTGAACTCTGCAAAGAACATGGCCCCCAAAGTGTTTGGCTGATGTTTCCAAATGCCCAAGTTTTAACCATAAAGAAAAACAAATGAAAAAATGCAAAGGTTCAAACTGTCTCCCCCAAAAGCTCGAGGGACACCGTGTAAGGAACATAAAAAGCCATAAAAACAAGCCCGAGTCCAGAAGCGCCCCACGGCTGTTTAGAAGGCCGTCCTACAGCGTGATCACTGGATCTTAAATTTCTGAAATGATTCCAAGAACAAAGTTTTACTTTCCCGAGCACAGCTGCAGCGTCCGCGCCGCCGGCCCAAACACACCGCCTCGATCGTCCTGCTCCACTCGCCTTCTCCTCACAAGCAAGATTCCTTCCCTTGACCTTTTAAGATAATTTCCTTTTATCCAAATTGTTAAGTGCTTGCCCTTCCTTACGGGAGGGGAACGGCCTGACGCGCAGACATAACAGAGACCCTCGGGGCTCCCCACGGCATGGACATCCTTGCTCGAGGAATCCCAAGGCTCCCGGGGGCTCCATGCAGTGGGTGCCCCGCTCAGAGCCGGTCAGGAGCGAAGGCGTTCTCCTGACACTGAGGTGCTTCCGTGTCTGTTTCCAGTGCCCTTGGACAGCTGCAGAAACATCCAGGGCCTACGATCTTTGCCATGGACTCAGCCATCACATTTTGAAGCTAAAAGTCAGTTTTTAGAGATTTTATTTATTTATTTGACAGAGAGAGGGAGAGAGAGATCACAAGTAGGCAGGGAGGCAGGCAGAGAGAGAAGGGGAAGCAGGCTCCCTGTTGAGCGGAGAGCCCGTTGCGGGGCTCGATCCCAGGACCCTGAGATCATGACCCGAGCCGAAGGCAGAGGCTTAACCCACTGAGCCACCCAGGCGCCCCTAAAAGTCAGCTTTAATCCAACTGCCAGAGGCTGAGACCAGGAGGAACTTAAGTGAAAGGCATTCGGCACAGAAGGCCCTGCCCTGCCCTGCCCTCGGGGCTCCTTCACCCCAACCTCGGGGAGCTGGGGAAAGCGGAGGCCGGAGGCCGCCGGCAGGGGTGGGCGCACTCTGAGTCTACGAGTTCTCAACACTCTCTCAGGGAGCATCATGTCCTTATTCTGAAAAACCTGCTGGATGGGCCATGAGTTTTGCAAATAGAAGGCAACCATCCTCTCCCAGGAGATGTTTGGGTTCCATGGCCCAAGGGGCGGGAACTCTGGTCTCATTACCTCTGAGTCACTGCCTGCATGGAGACAAACACATCTCGGCAAATTCAGGTTCAGTTTGGGGTGCCCTGCTCAGTGGGGAGCCTGCTTCTCCCTCTGCCTCTGCCCCACTTGTGCTCTCTCCGTCTCTCTCTTTCAAATAATTAAATAAAATCTTTTTAAAAAGTCACAGAATCTGTCCATTAAAAAAAAATTCATGTTGAGTTGAAAAACTCAGTCCCCCAAAATACAACTAAAAGTCACCAATGACATTTTAGGACCAAATACAGACAAGAAAATTTATTTACGTATAACCATCTACAGTGTATGCAGTTTTATTTATAAGTATAATTTCTGTAAGTTTTTATACATAATTTATAGGTATTATAAGTACTTATATTGTGTAACCCACGGCTTTTATCAGCAACCATGTCTATAATACCTGTTCAATGCACGACAGCTCAAAATGAGATCGGACGTAGTGATGGACTCAGACGGTGGGCGGGGGGGGGCGGTGGTCACTGCCACGTTCCAGCTCCCACGCTGGACGATGCGGTCATAGAGGTCTGCGTGCTAGTAAGCAAGCAGCATACATTCCAAATCGCCCTAAATCCTGCATAAAAAACCAGACAGCCAACCAGACAACGAACAACCCCCCTGGATACTGACTGTGAAGTGGCTGGGTTTCCTCCCGACTACGGAACACGGGCGCGTGAGGACACACAGATGGAGCCGAGGTCAGGAGGCCCCCAGGGTCTCCCGGACTCTGGAGCCTGGTCTCTGAGCAGCAGGGAACGCAAGCCAGCATCCTGACACTTAACCAAACTTTCCCTGGTCACCTGGGCAGGAAGCCAGGGAATCAGGCGTTATTTTAAAGTGGATGAGTAAAGGGGAAAGGACAGAGCTCCCCCGTGGGCTGTCCTGCTGGGCAACAGCAAGGACACAGGGGAAACGTCCAGGAGTAAAGGAAGAAGGAATGACAGAGCTAGACTAACACCATTTTGCAATGTGGTGACACGAATGAGAGCCACCACTGCTCCCATCACAGAGAAGCCCCCCCTCAATGGAGAATGCAGCCCCTTCCTGCCTCAGGGAGGGAGCCTGGGTCTGGCCCAGCCTCCGGGCCCACCTGCCTCTCCACAGGACATGCAGAGGAAATTGGGTGGAAATTTGGTGGCTGGGGCGAGGTCACACACATCTTCCTGGAAAGAATGGGAAGGCCAGATGGTGGCACTTGTGTCTCATCTGTTATCTTGTTCCCACGTGGTCATTCAGGAAGCACCTGACTGCTGAGAGGCCCCCCTCTCTCATGCTGGGGGCCCCGCGAGAGCGTGAGCAGGGCCGCCACACGCCGCCATCGGGACAGGACCTGTGAGCCTGGCAGAGGGGGCAGAGCTGGGAAAAGGCACAGAGACAAGTGTTCTCAGACCGTCTGCCAGCGGCCTCAGCCTGATTCCCAGCGGTGTGTGTCTCGGTTTGTAGGCGTTTCCTGATGCATCTTATCAAAGTCTTCAGGGAAACTCACTCTCTTGTCTGGGTTCAACATTCCCGTGGGCAAGGGGCGGAATCAAATCCCAACTCAAATCCTGCTGCTTCTTCCTGCACGCTGAGCTCGGACAGACTGACAACCTGCTGGCCTGGCCGGTGCCTGTCTTTCTGCCTCTGACAAGTTCAAAGATTCACCTTTTGTTTGCAAATTCACCCCCAAGGCATCCCGATTTCCTTCCCTGGTTCTTGTCACTGGGAACACAGCCAGTGTTGATCCCAAGGGCCTGTCCCTACAGCTGATCTGTGGGGCGCTGCCCAGCCCCGCTTCCGTGCTCGGCTGCTTCTGCCCCTCTCGTCCCCAGAATGGGACTGTGACACCTGTTCCCTGCCCCCCGCAAACCTACCCCCTGCTCACTGGAGTCTTGTCCAGGAGTCAAAGACCACAGGTCACGTACCCAATACCAGGTGCCAAACCCTGTGTCATACACTCTTTATGATCACGTAAGGATAGAGGCGCTCGGTACCGCATGCTGGTAACCGCGAAGGGGGTTCCACGGACCCCACAGTGGCGCTCGCAGATGGCACGCAGCCGACTTCTGTCTACATGACCGGGCTCATGTGGCAGTATTAGGCGATACTGCTTTACTGTTTTGCTGTTCCTCAATGAGGACACGAAGGGTGGTGTTTGTGTACTGTTGGAATTATTTTTCAGAAACAGCGGGAAGAATGTATTTATCATTATGTTTGTGTGTTGCTAATAAATATTAAGTAGTCCTGGTTCTTTCCACATTCTCAGCATGCTGGTGACAGGCAGGCCACAGTGTCCCTACGCTTGCTGGCATTCTCATTACGTGTTCCCCTCGGAGGTCAGGAGCACGGTCAGTGCGAGCGGCCCCACGCACGGACACACGCGTATGTGTGTGCACCGAGGCCAGATGCTGGCAAGTTTGCACATGGCGGGGAGGGGACAGGACATCCCAAACGGGGTCTTATGAACACAGGGGCGAAGCTGCCATGGGCTGACGCAGACGGGTGGCAGATGAATTTCTCCAAGAACCCCGAAGAAGTGAATGGATGCTGGGAGGTGACAGGGACGGCGCATTTCAGACTGGGACCCCCGGCAGGGCCTTTGCGGGCGGTGATGCTTGTGCTGAGTGCGGAGGTGAGGAGGGCAGGCCGGGCCCAGAGCATGGGAGGGGTTCTGGCCTGAGGAGCAAGTGCAGAGACCTGCAGGCAGCACGGGGCTGGTCCCGGTCAAGGCCAGCGTGGCAGGAATGGTGCATGAAGGAGCCGGTGGCACAGACGGACGGGAAAACAGAGGCAGACTCAAGAGTGTCTGACTTTGTCCTTAACTCCTTGTGACTTCACGGAGGAGCCGGAGCCGGAAGGGCTTGTACGCCATCCCACTGTGCCTTCAGGGCCTGCTCCCAGCTACGGAGTGGATGAGACACGGGCAGGAGACAGAGCAACGGGTCAGCTGGCTCTGCGGAGGGGAGCACGGCCCTGAGTGCGAGGGCGATGGGAATGGAGTAAAGAGACTCAGGGAAGGGATTCTGCAGAACACACAGGGCCTGCTGAGTGGGTGATAAGGCAGGTGTCGACGGTGACTCCGGTTCGGGCACCAGGAACTGAGTGGATCGAGTCGCCACTTGCGAAGATGGGGAGTCAGGCAGAGTCTGTCCAAAGGGGAAACCAAGGGTTCAGTCTGGGATGTTCTGTCTGGAGATCGTGTGAGCCATCTCGAATATTGGTTCTAAGACTGAGGCTGCCTGGAGCAGGGACACAAAGGGGACAGCTGCTTTACATCTCATGGCAGCAGAGCTGGGGGTCCTGGGGGGCAGACGCCAGAGTTTCCGCAGCACCACGGGTCTCTGCCTTTTCCAGAAGTCGCAGCTGTTTGCAGAGGATGGTGAACCTCAGGACAAGGACAAGGACGCTGTTAAGGACTGTAGGAATTTCGAACCATTAAAACTTTGTCTCAGGCGTTGCAAATTCATCAGCCTTTGTAAGCGCCTCTCAAAAGAGCCTTGACCTTAAGAACAAATATTTGCATGAGAAGTGACGGACCCATAGGCCTCGTAGCTGAATTCAGAGACTCAAGCATGTGCCAGTCAGACTGACGGTTCAGTAAGAGTGAAAGGAAGGAGAGCCTCAGACAAGAAGACAGAGCCCAAGACCTGTTCCTGCAGATCCGGGTTCACACAGGCCACGAGAGCTCAGAGAGGGACCAGGCTGCCCCAAACTTACAGGTTGAGTCCGGGACTATTTAAGGTCGAATTCAACAGCAGACTGAAAGGAAACTCAACACACACTTGCAGCCTCTTCTGACTCTGGAAATAAGAGCCCACCGCGGGGTCACCCTCCACCCACGCCCCCCCCACGCCCCCTCAGCAGAGCCCCTGATACCACGTTCCTGAACAAACAGCTCTGTTAGGTTAAAAAGCAACCTGGGACCCCACTGATTGCCCTAAACAACCCCAAATCACCCAATCAATCTTGATGGGTAAAATGGGAAAAAAACACCAAACCCTCCAACTTCTGAATTTGAAGCTTCAGAGGGACTTGGATAGGGACTAGAGGGGACAGTTGCCAGGATGAACATAGGTGCATCAGGGCGGGAGCCGCAGCAGGTCCTCCGCACGTGGGGGCCGGGCCCCAGGCTCTGGAGACTGGTTCCTAACGAGAAAGAATTCTGAAGGTTGACCAGGATGCCCACAGACCACACAAAGTGTAGAAAAGGTCAGAACTTAACCATGAATACATAGTGTCTAGAGCTTCTTTTAGCTCAAACTCTTAAGAAGGAGAATTGAATTTGTTCCCTGCTGTTTGAGGTGACATACGATGCATCCAGTGACAGGTAAAAAAATACCTAAAAACAAGGACTTTCTAAGGTGCTCACTTCTGCAGCCTGTCGGGAGCGTTGACCAGAGCACCAGACGCCCCCCGGGCCGCTCTGCAGAACAGAGGCCATCGGTCCACGGACGGAAGGGTCCTCACAGGTTATGACCTGTGACCGTGGTGGGACGCGCTGCAACAGCCAACCTCTCCACAGCGGGGGTGGAGGGCGGGCAGGCGAGCAGACACACGTGGCTTGCACACATGGCTTGTACACGCGGCTTGCACGCGGCCAGCCATCTAGAGGCCGTCATCGCAGCCGAGAGCGCACACCCCACGTGCTCCCTACGTTCATGCTGCGACGGTCGTGACGCACTGCCCGGATGCGGAAGCCCAGCACAGTCACGACTCTTCCTGGTGAGGACTCTCAACCGTGCACAAACCTGGGCCGTCACCCAGCTGACCTTCGCTCCCACTGGCTTCAGACGCGTGCCCAACCCACTGGCCAGCTCTCTGGCGTGTTTTATGATGCTCTGCCGACTGAGCTATCGGGGCTCTTCTCTGGCATGTTTTAAATTGAACGTCAGACAACAGCATCCCCGCGTTCCGCTGATGAGGACCCCCATCTCCACACGCGCACCGCGCTGTCACTAACCCCACACTGTGACGTTAGCAGGACAGATCCGGTTCCCCTGGCTGTCCCCACAGCGTGCGGTTCACAGCTGGGTGCGGGCGCTGTGATCGCGAGCCCGGTGCGTCTTTCCTGCTGGCTCCTGTCTCCCTTCCTGGGGGTCTGATTTCTCAGAGAACTAGGGTCACTTGTCCTGTGATGTGTCTCCCCTTCCGACTCGCAGATTTCTTGCTCTGGTTCAGAAGGACAGACCCTGAGACTCTGTTCGATGGAGGCTCGGCTTTGAGGCCCCAGTTTCTCCGTCACGGGGCTGTCTACACCTCCCATCCATCACCACTTCCTAGTGTCTGAGCATCTCGCTTTCCGGGAAATTTTGAGGGCTCTGGGTTCCAAGGGCTTCCGGAAGCTTCCATGGTAAAGATCCTGATGACCCCCAACGGTCTTGCGCCCACTGAAGTCTGTCCCCCAGAGCCATTAGGACTTCCAAGTGCCGAGTTCTAATCATCTCCCATACTCCATACCTGTGTCAGCCAGACTCTTCTACAGAGAACAAGTTTCCCTGCCAGCAACCCGCAGTCCATTTCATACCGGAAGGCCATCATAATGTTTACCTCTTTGTAACTTCTAGAACAATCGGCTGAAGGTGTTCGACTCTTGGCACCCACGGCCACTGCAGAGCCCCATGTCCCTGCACGTGGAAGCCAGGCGGGGCTCTGGGGTTCCTGCTGTCACTTCCAGGCCTCCTGGGTACAGAAAACTGAGAAACACGCAGGTTCTGAAGAGAACACAAAACCGCGAGCCAGTGGTCACTGTGGCCATTGCATGAATCTAAAACCAGTTGGGTCACCCGGCTACACGGGTTCGAGGCTTGTGTTTCCTCCCTAATACTCTAGACTTCATGCCCACTCTCACCTGTGCTGGCTGGTTTGGGAGCCGGAAAACCAGGTAAAACGAAGGTGAAGTTGCTTTCCTCACACACCCCCACGGGTAGGAGCCTTGTGGTGTCACACGACGCACGTGTGTCCGGAGGCTCATCGGTGTCTCGCTCCCATGGAAACCAAGCCCCAGAACCCGTCATTATCCAGGAGGCTCTCTAAATTACTCCCCGGGCAGTGGGGGGACATCTGAGAACCGTGGGAACCATCACACGGAAGGTTCCTCCAAAGACGGTGTGTTGGGGATGTCACTCACGTCGTCCACGGCGTGGACCACTCCTGCGGACGCCAAGCTGGGGGTAGAAGGACAGTGAAAACAGGCATCACGGTGGCGTTTCCATCTGTTTCCCCACCATCCACACTCTTCCACACTCTTTCCTTCCTTCCTTTCTCTTTCTTTCTTTCAGAGAATGTGAGAGACAGAGAGCGCACGCATGCGAGCTGAGGGGAAGGGGCAGAGCGGGAGGAAGACAGAATCTCAAGCAGACGCCGCACAGAGCAGGGAGCCCGATGCAGGACTCGATCCCAGGACCCTGAGATCACGACCTCAGCCGAAAGCAGACACGTCACTGCCTGAGCCCCGCGGGCGCCCGACACTCTACCCCACGCTCATTTCTGCTGAGCCCTCTTGTTTTCACCATCTGGTCCTCCCCACCGGCGCTCTCCTTGCCTCTGGCTTCGTCTCTCTGCGCCCCTGCTGCCCCCCATGCCTCCCTCTTGTATCAATGTCTCTGACTCTTCCCCATTGCTCAGTTTCCCTCCCCTCCTCCCTATTCACTCTCTGGAAGTGTTTTCTCCCACGCCTCTGCTCTTCATTCCATACCCCCTGTGTGTCATGGGAGAGACAGGACATCTCTACCCTGAGTCTCGGGGTAACTGATGGGCAGCAAACCTCACAGCACAGTCTCTGTCTTTGGGAACTCGGGGCTTTGAGGGCAGTTGGGAACCTGGAAAAACGCAACATGCTCCAGAGTGAACGTCAAGTGAACATAGGGGAGGCGGGAACATGAAGGAAAGTTTGCGAGGCCGCCGGGACCGTGCCAACAGGCCGACCGGCAGGAGAAGCACTGGGCATCCAGAATTCCTGCAACGGTGCGAGCAGCCCAACCCCGGCAGTGAGATGTCGCTCACACCACAGGAACCCCACGCTCAGGGAGACACCTTGGAGCAGGACTGCCAGCCCTGTGGTACGCCGCGGTTCCCGACACACCTGGCTTTCCGGCCCTTTGACAGATGGCTGCTGGCCGCCGGCCACCGCGGCCCAGCAAAGCCTGAGCTAGCAAAGTAAGTCTGGATGAGAAAGATATCCACTCGCTGTCAAAGAGATACGAACTATGTTTCACACTGTAGGGCTGGCCCCGGGCCTCCTGAAGGCCTTCCGAAGTCACACGCTGGACCACGTGACACACACACCAGCGAGACGCGAGCCAGGCCCCTCCAGGAGAACGAGATTTAGGCGGACAAGGGGAGACCCCCGACATGAGCCAACTTACAGGGCAGGGGTGAGAGCCTGTTGGCCACAGAGCCCCCAAGGCTGACCTAAGGGAAGCAGGGGGCTAGTGGGCAGCATCGCGTAGGCCGGAGGGCCTGGAATGTGGGATCCATTCCACAGGCAACAGGGCCGACCTTTCCGCAAGGGTTTGTTTCATCTGGGGAAGAAGGGAAGGTCCAATTGAGGACGGTTTTCAAGTACACAGCCAACTAAAACCAACTAAAACCATGTCAGGTAGTTCTGTGCTACTCATCAACACCACCAGAACTCTGTCCAAGTCACAACGACCAGCCGCGTCCACATTAATGAACTTCTCGCACCCCGGAGGGGCCTTCAGAGTCAGTAAAGAAGGATGCCCTTTCCTCTGACAGACTAACGGACAGAGGACCAGCCAGAGCCTGGCCTTGTCAATTGCTGAAAGAAGCCTGACCCCATCGGGCCGCAGAACCCCTACGACCCACATGGGGCTCGCTCAGAACTTCTGGCCACGTTCAAGCCACATTCCAGCAGCCTATTAACTACTCAGCTCCTTCCAGAAAATCACCCTCCCCCAGAGCATGAGAAATCCCGCTTCAGGGCCAGGGGCAGGAACACAGGAGGCACAGGAAATGGCTGCACTTTCTTTTTCCTTCAAAGAGACATGTGCATGTGCGTGCACACACACACGCATGCACACACTCGCACACATGCACACACGCACATGCACACACATACACACACATGCGCACACACCATGCAGAAGTAGATCACCTGTCCCGGGAAGCTCGACCATCCAATTCCTCATCAGAAGGCAGCAGAGGGCGGATCCGACAATGAACTCTGACATTCCCTTTCAGCTCCTACAACCAGAGAGTTTCCACCTGTGAGCAGAGGAACCGTTTCCCCGGAGAGGGCATCCCGAGTACTGGCTTCTGAGCAAGTCCCCAGGAAGGGTACTGGGCGCTCAGTGCTCTTTCAAGCTTTTTTAAAATCCCCACGTGAATGTGTTCCCTGGCAAATGACTGTCCTGTGGTGCTCAGACATGCTTCCTGGCATGGCGCTGGCCCCGTTTGCCCACAGGTCCTTTCCCAATGTCAACACCATAATGAAGCAGTCCGTTCCTCCTTCATGGCACAGCGTGTCAGAAACACAAACTCTGCCACCATGTCCCCTGGAAGCCATGCGTCCCCAACGCCTTCCGCCAGCCCTTGGAGCACAGCTGTGCTGCGCACTCCCCCGACAGCTAAAGCACCGGGTTTTTATCGCTCCTGAAGGGCCGTGTCCAGAACAGCAGCTCACCTCCAGCTGCACATTTCTGACCTGAATGATGAGGGAGCAGGAGGCTGGCTGAGGACAGAGCAAAAGCTGGCACCTTGCACCCCCTCTCCACCCGCTCCCCTCGGTAATATGTGTGACATTCCTCAGGCACCTCTGGCTGCCCTAAAAGAAAACAAATAGTTAACTTGCAGAGATCACAGTCCTGCAAGACAGGCGTCTCCCTTGGTTTATCAATATCCTAGAGATTTACAACAAAGAAGCTATCTAACAATAGCACAATTTCCAGAGGCAAATAACTCAGTTCCTCAGGCCCTAAATAAAGTTAAATTTCTTCTAAACCCAAATCTCATTAACAAGGACACTTGATAGGAGAAATGTGAAACTTTATCTCTAGATCTCCAAGATAGTGTCGAGAATCATTCCCAAGCATACGGCCCACTGATATACATCTAAAGGGTCTCACAAGAAGATTTTTACTACTAGTAATGAATAACCTTTCTCCCAACAATAGTTAGCCCCTCAAGGTCCTGGAGACCTTGCTTCCAAAATTCCTTACAGACTAACATCACCCCCTTTGTCCTCACCTACCCAACTCCTGTGTATATGATCAGCCACTCCTCAGGATAATGGCGCAGCATCTCTGTCTGCCCACGGGTCCAGTCCCTGTGCTCTAATAAACCACTGTTTTGCGCCAAAGACATCTTAAGAATTCTTTCTTAGCCGTTGGCTCCGAACCTCACCTAGGTTCAAGAACTTCATCATGACCGTCCTTGCAGCCTTGACACCAACGACCTAGTCCGTGCTTGGGACTGTCACCTGACATTGGAATTCCACACCCACCAGAAGGGAGCCACGCACTCCTCCCCAGCACCCCAGATGACAGACACGTCAGTGGGAAAGCATGGGAACTGTCGGCGTGGCTGTGGTTCTACCAGAATCCGGCATCTGTGGGGGCAGACATGGGCTTGGGAACCAACACTGTGTCACAAGACAGGAAAGACCATGCAGAAGGAGGGGGAGGGCCAGGCGGGAGAACCTGGGAGACAGCAGGTGAAGGGCGGTGTCAGGTGACCTAAGAGGTGGCCGCATCCCTGAGTGAAGAAGTGTCACCAACAGGGAGGGACGGCCACCTCCACTTCACGTGTACCCGGCCTCCATCGGCACAGCCCAGTGCGGTCCACGAAGCCTGGGGGAGGGAGCCGGTCCCCAGACCGAGCCTGGGGTCCGAGCTCTTGTGGCAGGGCTGCGAGAGGGACTCCCGCTAACAACCACCATGCTGCTGCTGCTGCTGCGAGTTCTGGCACCTTCTCCCATTTAAAAACCGATCTCCGCTCGCAAGGCGATGCTGCCGGCAGTCACCCCTCTAGGCCCCACTTCCGCATCAGCCTGCACCTGTGCACCTGCATTCTGCTTAGCCTAGGGCTCTATCCTGTGGAAATATTTTGGGATACTCTTTGCCATTCGATACGTTTGGTATAAATCCCTTTCAAATTTATATCCTTGTCTCCATCAAGTCAGTAAGAATTAGGATCCAAAGAGTCTGGGCAGAGCCCAGAGGATTTCCCTGCACAGCTTCTCTCCTGGTTGTCATCTGGGTAGGGGGTCCCGTCCCTGGCTGATCTGGCCTGCCCCTCCTCCCTGCGCCTTCTCTACAGACACAAAAACCCAGGGGGCAGGGGCTGGCCTCTGAGCTCTTATACTGACGCTCTGGTCATTAATATTTCATGTCATGCTTTTGCAAATGCCTGGCTGAAAACCAGACACTCTGTATATCTTCTATTCTCTTGATGTGGCACCTGGAAACAACAAGGGGACATCTTCATTCTCGCACATGCCTACTGGTTCCCGTGAGCAGCACGTTTGCCGTCTGGGCAGTCAGAAACCGTTCCCTGGTGATCGGTTCCAAATCTTACGCTGGACTCACAGCTGGTGGGTTCAACCGGTCGCCAAGCACAGCTGTTTTTGCTCCATCAGCATGAGTAAGATGCCTACGGACTGATTTACAGGCCGGAGGGCTCTTGGGTCCCTGGGTCTCCCTGACGCTGAGACCCACTGTCTGTCAGCGGGTCTTCCAGGGTACAGAACGCAGCTGGGGGTCAAGCCTCGTCCCCCTGGGCCTGGTTCCTGCCGAGAGGGCCCGCCCGGCCCCTTCAGGCCCGGGGGGAGAGCAGGGGCCCGGCAGCTCCTGGCTGGTCTCTCACCTGGTCTGTGCAGCAGGGCGACATGAGGTCAGGACGAGGTATGAACACGCACCAAGCGCTTCCAGAGCGCCTGGCTGGCAGGAAACGCGCAGTGGATGCCGTCTGCTGCGGTGGCCCGGAGCCCGAGCCCCACCGGCAGGCAGCCTAGGACGGAGAGGGGGGCCACGCCAACCCGTGGGGGAGCCCGGGGGCACTTCCCAGCAGCACAGGCTCCGTGGGACCATGAGCCCGCCACGCCCCCGATCTCCCGGGAGCAAAGGTCATCCAACAGACCATCAGCTCCAGCCTCGCCTGAGCACACACGGAACCGGGGTCCTCACACCTCCTGGGCCTCAGCCCCACACCGCTAGAGAGGAAGGCGAGCCAGCCTCGGCGTCCTCCTGGCCATGGAGGAAAGCGAGGGCCAGCGCCGGCCGGAAGGCTGAGCTCTAAGACCCCAGCTCAAGCGTTCCCGGTGAGCCCTCGCAGACCCCAGCGCACCGGCCTGCCCCTGCGCTCACACGCAGCCAGGGGTCTCACCGCCCCGCCCCACCCCGCTGCCGCTCAGCCCCGCCCCTTCCAGCCTGCGGGCCCCACCTCCCACAGGCCACGCCTCCCACAGGGGCCACGCTTCCCCCGCTGGCCACGCCTCCCATCGGGTCCCGCCTCCCGTGGGCCACACCTCCTCGCTGGCCCCACCTCCCCCGAGGGCCACGCCTCCCATCGGGCCCCACCTACCTCTCTGGCCACACCTCCTTGCCTATCCACCCCCAGCCCCACCCGGACCTTTCACTGAGGTCCCTCCTCCCGGTCCCCTGTCCCGGCCCCCTTCTTGGACTGTGGACGGCACTCACCACCAAACGGTTGTGCAGCACCTTCCTCTTCTGCCTCTCCAGCTCATACAGCGCGCTCACCTCCTGCAAGGACCTCTCGAGGCGGCCCACCTTCGACTGCCAGGCTGCGGGGACAGTTTTACCCCAAGTGGGAATGCGGTTTCGGGAGAGGATCTTCAGACCCCCGTGACCCGCTCCTCCTGCAGGAGACTGCCAGGTCCCGAGGGAAAGCTGGGGCTCTTCTCCCTCTCCCCCAGCCCCCTTTCCAGAGCCGAGGCACACTACAGCCCATTAGATAACCCAACGGTCCCCTTTCCTGGAGTGCGGGACTCGGAGGACCACCCGCGAGCATGTACGTGCCCACCTGTCACCTGGCCTGAGACCCAGCAGGAGGGGCCCTGAGCGGAACCCTCCCAGTGAGGTTGGCCTCATTCCCACCGTGCTGCTGGGGCGAGCACTTACAGCCCCGGAGCCAAAGCACCCTGCTTCCCGGGCTGTAAGTCTGGTAGGTGACAAGAACATCCCCATCTCCACCCAGTAGTGACCAAGCCCAAGAAAGAGGTGACCAGACAGAAGGGACATCACACCACACATCAGGGACATCTGACACAGGAGACTCAGCAGGGACACGGCCCCAGTGCAGGGCCAGCATCAGCGTTAAGGGAGCCTCTTATCATCCCCAGGGGACAGGGGGAATCTCGGGTCCATTCCCAAGCAGCAGCACAAAGTCACAGCTGATGCCAGCTCCAGTCCCTGCAGGCCCCTGTCCCCGGCAACGGGCCGGGCAGCCATTGGGTTAGGGCCTTACCTTACCTAGCAGAGCCTCATGGCAGAGCGGTGCCCTCTGCATGGCCGCCACCACCTCAGAAAGCCCGTCCTGCAGGTGCTCCCGGCAAGCTCTGAAAACCTCCAGGGAAGAAGCTCGCAGCGCCTCTGTGTCGTGCTTCAGGGCCTAGACCAGAGAACACACATGGCTGAGATAATGTCATGGGTCACACGGCACCATTTGGAATAGTCAAGTGAGTGTCTATAAAACAAGAGCACAGCCACACGGGTAACACAATCACGCACAGACTTCCCAGGACCTGCGTCTCTTCAGAGCTGAAGCTCTCCAGCGTTAGAGGGAGGACAGCTTCCTGTCTGCCGCGGACTTCCTCGCGAGGCAGGCCAGGCCCCAGTCCCCACGCCGGCCTCCGCACGCAGGAACGGAGCTCTGGTCTCTTGCCCCGACCGCCCTCCGGAGCACACTGTCCTGAGCACACGGCGACAGCCATGCTGGCCCCTGTGCTTATGTGACCCACGTCCAGGCGTACATGCGTGTTCAGAGAATTCGGGGGATGATAGAGCCAATAAGCGGTGCTCCCCACGTCAGGGGCTCTTCCCTTCTGAGGCCGTGGGACACTGTTTGGCACCAGGACAAGTGGCCCAGAAGGAAGGAGCCGATGTCCTGGGGTTTGACATCGAGCAAGTGAATCGCGAGATCCCCGCCGATCTGAGATACATGTCCTTGGGTTAAGTCTTTCTTTTCCATAGAAACACCATTTCCCTATGTTCTGTGTCAGAAACATTCTGACAATGTCCACACTGACATTCCGCATCGTTAGCACATAGGACACGGGTAAAGTCACACGCTGCGGCCAAAGACGGATCCCTTCCACTGAGCTGCAAGAGGACAGGCAACTCTGCACGCACGCCCGCGGTCCGTGGGCAGGAAAACAAGCCTGCTGGGCGGACTGATCATGTTTACAGATGGCGTTTCTGCTGTTATCATAATGATCTTTCCTTTCCCTCCTAATTTCCACCCCGGCCACATTGTTTGTGAGGAAAGGTGACCAATGCTCGTGAGCACACCGCAGTATAAAAATAACCCAGCACCGGCTCGCCCTGGACACTGGCCAGGCGCCCTAGAGCCACGGCCACGCTCTGCCTTTTCTTTGCGGCACCGTAGCAGCTCACAGGAGCCGCCCCTGTGACTGTGGTGGCGAGCGCCTGGCTTGTCCGGGCCCCAACGAAGCCGCTCTCCACCCTGTGACACTGGATTAAAGGAGAGGCCCACCCTGCCGCCCCGTGTGGCAGGATCAGAGCTGTGTCACACAGGCCGGCCACGGCCACACGGTGCTTCTCCTTCCCGCGTGGGCTCAGGACCCCAGACCTCCGAGTCGGCAGGTGGCCGCCAGGAAGGCAGAGCTCCCGACCTGAGCACCAGGGCCCCGTGTCCCCAGCACAGGGATGCTTCTCCCGCCTCGCGAAGAGGGCCACGGGGACAAACGTGCTGGGACCCCACGCCTGTCGACTGAGGAGCTTCGCTTCCCTACACCAAGGCTCCTCCTAACCCCAGACGGGATCTGGGCTCACAGGCTTAAACTTGCCCAGTCTCAGCAGAAACGGCCCCGTGAGTGAGGGACGCGGACGGCCACGTGTAAACACAGTGACCCACTCGGGGAGCTGCTCCTACCTGAATGTGGCGCCAGAGCTGGGGTGCGGCCAGGGTTGTGCTTCTCCGCGGGGGCTCCTGCTCAGGGCACCTGGAGCAGAGCTGGGCGGCCGTGCCGGCCCCCTTCCCACTCATTCCTCGGTACTGCTGTGCACAAGAGAATAAAAGACGGTTCACAGTGCCAACCCCTGGGAGCAGGTGCACTTTCTCTGAGGGGAGGCTGTTCACTCGCTGTCTGCTGAGTCCCACCTGCCCCACCTGCCGCTGCCTGGCCGCACCCCTCGGCCTGCGCAGGGCCCCCAGGGGTGGGGGGGTGAGGAGGGTTATGCGGCACAGGTACGGGGGCACAGAGGGTGCAGGGACAGGGGTGCGGTGAGGGGACGGGGGCTCACGTGGGGCCATGTGGACACGGGGCACAGGGGGTCCTGAAAGCTCCTGCCTGCGGCAGGTGTTTAAGGACCGAGGTTGTCTGGTCCCATGAGTAGGCAACAATGAAGAGGACAGTGAGTGGGACAGGGGTGGGGGGAGGCCGCAGACCTCGTCAATAATAGGGTCGCTGCTTGGGTGTTTTCTTCAGGGCGATGCCAAGCACACGGAGATTTTCAGGACAGAATCCTTGTTTGGGAACACGGCTCCGGGAGTTCGGTTGGACAAGGACGGAGTGGAGGGGGCTGTCCCGGGAGACAGAGTAGAGGAGTCAGGACACATTCAGGGACAAACTTGGCATGTCCAGGAGGTGACGCGGTGGGACGAGCTACAGACCCTGCAGCTCCAGGGTCCCTGTCCTGTGTGGCCAGCTGCGGAGGGGCCATGACTCAGGTCCCGAGGGAATGGTGATGCATTCGAGATTTTGCTTTGCTTTGGTTTGTGCTCCACAGTGTTTGAGTCCTGACGCTCTCGTGCTGTGTCCTTGTGGCCCGTCGCAGTGCTGATGGCCTCCCGCAGACACCAGCCGCGGTGTCCCACGAGGAGAAAACACGCGGCTCGGTACCAGCACAGTGCCATGGCAGCTGCTGCTCAGGGAGAGCGACTTGCCACGACCTCACCACGTCCTTACGATGTCCTAACCGTGTCCTCGCCACGTCCTCACCACGTCCTCACCACGTCCTCACCACATATCTAGCGTGATGGTGCGTGGCTCCGAGCCGCAGGGCACGTGAGCTTGCTGCGTGAGCAGGAACCGGCTTCTCTTCGGGAAGAGCATGGAGGTGGAGGACGCAGGCCTCCCAGCACGGTGGGGCCGACGGGGGACACCTGGTTCCCGAAGCGCCCCTGCGGCGAGGAGGAGGCCCCAGCGGGTGCGGGGCTCCCCTCAGCGTCTGCCCCTGGCTGTGGACAGCACAGAGAGCGGGCAGGATGCCAGCCACGGAGACGGGAGTGCCTGGAACAGGAGCTGCTGTGGGGCTGGGACAGGCCGGGGTTGGGGATGACGCACCCTGAGGACCGACGCCGCCCGAGCAAGGGGGGTCGGGGGCCCCGCCCGGCTGCGGATCTTTCCCTGGTGCTTGAATGTTCTTCACTACGATTCTTTCTACAGCAGGTGACAGAGGCGAGCCTGCCGTCAGCTGGGCAGGGCTGGCCCCCTCCATGCCGGACGGGAAGCCTGTCCCGTAGATCCAGGGCTCTGCACGCTGTGACCCGGAACACTGAACCATGCCGACGACTCGAGACAATCCTTATCTCACGGAGACGAGCTGGGCAGGAGCACAGCCGGGAGAGTCAAGGCCCTGCCCTGGCTAACAGTCATGCGGCCCCAGGTCGCGTCTCTGCTGACGGAAAGGAAATAAACTAAACCAGATGGTGATTTCATTTAATTTGGCTCCTCTGCTCCGAGTGCGGCGGACACTTCCCACTGAGCTCCACTCGGTGCCTGGAAGGTAGGAAAGCGCCGTGATGGCAGATAAGTGGATTCTGTCACAACTGTCCGACAAGGGAGTGGAGGGGACGGGGAATTCTGCTCCTTTTGAGCCGTTCTCCCGTCCCTTCTCTCATCGGTGCTGCAGAACGGGGCGTCCAGGAAACGCCCGAGAGGAGACGTGCTCGCGCCTCTTGGAACGGTCCCGTCGGAACGGCCGGGTAGGCACTGTGCCAACGCGGAGGGGCCCGCTCCCCTGCACCCCAACGCTGAGGTCTCATGGCAGCTCCCATGGTTGTGGAAACCCACGTCGTCCCTGGACTCCAGAATGCGAGGACGGGTGTTTCCTTCCAACCAGAGCTTTGGACTCTAATCCTCCCAAAACCGCGTCAAGCAGACTCTTCCTGTGTGCCAGGAGCAGGGGGACGTCCGAGCTACATGTGAGACAGTGCAGGGGACACGGAGGTGGCTGGTGGGACGGGCCACCGCGGCTGGAGGGCCTATTCTTGACGTGAACCCTCCACACTGAGGAGAACCTACACGCGGGGAAGCTCAGGGCAGCCCGTCCGTGGGGCGGTGATGGCTACAGAGACCCCACAGGCCCATCCTGTCCTGGGCGCGGCATGTACAGGGAGCCACGTGGCACGGGCCTGTACAGACTAGAGCTAGGGGACGTCACGCGGTTCGTTGCCTCCGCCCATCACGTGGCTACAGACAAAACGGAAGCAAAACAAAGGCCCTAAACTCTGAAGGCTCAGATTCTCTCGGAAAAAATATAATGTACGTTTATTTAAACATCCAGACCCGTATTCCAAAGTCTCCGGTACCGACTGTAGGTCCAATGGGAATTCAGAGGGAAATGAAGTAGAGCGACCGAGTCTGGCATGTGGGATATGGGGCCATCTGGCTTCCAGGGCGGGCTGGCCAAGGAGGGACAGGCAGAAAGCCGCTGGCACCTGGGGGCACTGAGCCCCAAAGCCCGGAAGCAGCAGCGCAGGGCTCTGGGGAGGCAGAGGATTCATTTGGAGACAGATGCTGAAAACAGGAACAGTGTCCACGAGTAGCACAAGCGGCCCCGGAGGTGTGACCAGTCACTCTGCACCAGGACGAGCCTGGTGGACAGCGGCTCCTGGAAGAGTCCCGCGCGCGCCCTTCCCTTCCCTGCCACATGGGCTGCACAGGAGGCCTGCACCACAGAAGGAAGTTGTTCTGTCTCATACTCGTCAAAAATGACGAAGAAAGACTTAACCATACAAATGCCAAAAACGTTAAAGGCTTTTTGTGTAACTGACACACGATGCCTGATGATCTTACCTGTGAAAAACATGTTTTCAGTTTCATCTCGACGACATTTGGGAACACGGCTGGAGCTTTGTGGCAGCCCCCGGCAACGGAAGGTCGTGAACTCCACAAGCCACCTGCTCCACACCTCTAACCCTGCGATGGAGGAAGGACCCCCAGGGTGCGACCTGTGGGGTCCAGCCGCCAGCCCATCCATGCCCCTCGGAAGCGCCGTGGGAAGGCTTGGGTGCAACGTGGGAGACCTACTTCACTGGGGCGCCAGAAGCGCTCGCAAAACGAGCAAATAAATTAGTGCTTCATTTAGGAAACAGTATGGAGAGCCCTCACTTAACCCACAAATGTAGTGCGGCTAAGTCCGGCTAGTGAAACGGGACGATGTAATTCAAGGAGCCTCAAGGGTTTGAAGACTGAGTTCCGCTGGGAGGCCCTCAGGAGAGGTCTGCAGAGGTCACATCTTACAGATGCGGAACCTGGGCGAGCCCTAGCTTTCCGGACTAGCTTCTGTTAACAAATGACCACCACCTGGGAGACTCAAGACAACACAAGGGCATCAGCTCACTATCCTGGAGGCCAGCACCCCAAGCTCAGAGGCTTTGGGGCAGGACCCGCACACCTCTCCGGCTCCTGTGGCCACTGAGGTGCCCTGGCCATGCTGCATCATGTCCCCTGCTCCATCGCCCTGTGGTCTTCTCCTCCTGCAGGGACTGCATGGCATGCAGGGCCCAGCTGGGGCTCCAGGGGGCAGTAGCGGCTGGAGGGCTGTTCCAGACCAGAAGGGATAGGCTCCTGCCGCCTGGCACTCTCTGCCCTGCTCCCTCCCTTCCAGGTGCGTGGAGGACAGGGGTCCACTCACAGGAGCGTCCTTGCCAGGATGCCAGGATCCCTTGGTACGTGGGGGAGGGCAGGGGATGAACCTGAGCCGCCAAAAGGTCCTTGGGGGGACAGGCAAAGGGGGTGTCACGATGGCCGGGCAACCACGAGGGGACTGAACACCCACTCGTACGCTTCAGCTGGGGGAAGGCACGTCCGTAAGTCGGACCTCAGTAAAGCGCGGGCCCCTCACTAAATACTCGTGGGCACAGGATCAGACCTCGTGCCGCATTGGAGGTGTGGGTCCTGGCTACCTTGCTGCACGGCAGAGAGGGAAGGCCAGGCCGGGTGGCAGCCTGGAGCCCGGGGAGGAATCAGTCCAGCTCCACATGCCAGACGCGTGGGGGTACTACCTGGGCCAGTCGCAGGTGAAGAACAGCATTTTCTGTTTCCAGTTCAACTATCCGCTCTTCTTTGGCCTACAACAAGGACCAAACAAGGGAATTTATCACCATAATCGATACTCATCAGTAAGCACCCCACCCTCGGAAGGAAGCCAGCCCCCGCCTCAGTGAAGAGCTATAGGGGAGGTCAGCTGGGGCAGGGGGCTGTTTCTGACACGGACAGAGCCCACGTGCCCCGCATCTATGATCCCCACTCCAAGTGCGGTCCCTGGCTGCCGCTCCTGGGGCTTGCTGGAAACGCAGATTCCCACATTACGGCACATAAATTAGAGCCCAATTAAACCGCTGAAAAAGCCCCACCCCAGATCTACCAGAGTCTGCATGTTAGAGAGAGCTCCAGGTGACCTGTATGTAACGTAAAATCTGGAACACACTAAAATCAGCATTTCTGTCCTTATATTAGCTCACACTGAAAAGCTACCTGTTAGGAATCTGTCATGTGCCAAGCACTTGTCTGGATACTCTGGACACAGCCGTGAACTGATCAGATGCGGGTCTCCCATCCTCATGGGAGACGTGGAAGAGCCAGTGCATGGGTAAGTGAGCTGGGGGAACAGTGGCAACACCACAGTTAAATCAGTCTATGGGTTCAGAGACAGACAGAGACAGAGTGGCTGCCCAAGGTGGGGGCAGGGCTGGCAGGGCCAGCAAGGAAACCGGAGCAAAGGGGAAAGCCTGTGCAAAGGCCCTGAGGCAGGGACGAGTTTGCGGAGTTGAAGAACGAAGAGAAGGTAAGACTCCAGGGGGGAGGCTGGGGTCTGGGAGGAGGGATGATAGGGAAGAAGGGACTGTTGTCTGCAGGGTTTTAAGCAGAGGAGTTTAAATAAGAGCTATTTAGAGTGAACGCTGAGCACGCCAGCTGCTGGAAGCCTCGGTGGACAGAAAAGCATGGGTTTCCCTGAAGGTGGTCCAGAGGCCGTTCTTCCTGCAGGGAGTCCCTCCCCCAGCCCGCTGACACGCAGCTCTCAGATTGCTGTGATCATTTTGGGGCAATCTCTTTGTGACTGGGTATAAAACCAGAAACTTGGCTGTCATCTGGACTTTCTGTTACCATGTTCAGTCAGTTTTACCTCTTGAAAAAAAATACCAAACTTGGAGTATTTCCGCAGAAGTCCACTTCTGGCATCTAGCAGATGCCGCCCCTGGCCGCTGCCCTATGGAGCTGGACTTCACCTCCACGCAGTTCACCGGCCCAGGTGCGCAGGTCAGTGGCTTCTGTATACTCGCCGCTGTGCCAACGTCACTGAAGCTAGTTGGCAGTTATTTTCATCTCCCTGAAAGGAAGCCCCACCCCTTAGCCACCGCCGCTGATGACCCCCAACCCATCCCACAGAAACCACTAATCTACTCTCTGTCTCCACAGATTTGCCAATTCTGGGCATTTGGATCCATAGAATCATAGGCTGTGTAGCCCCTGTGAGCGGTTTCCTCCACTGGGCACCTTGTTCTCAAGGCGGAACCATGTCGTGGCATCCTACCAGAATTTCATTTCCTTTCATTGCCTGATCATGTAGCTGTATAGCTGTTCCTGAACGAGTTTTTGTGGGACACACATTTCCCTTTTGCCTGGGAGTATTCCTAGGATGGGGACCATGTGTGGTAGCTCCAGTTAGCATCTGGGGAACTGCACACTCCTGTCTGCAGTGCGTGAAAATGCCAACCTGGCCACACCCTAGCCAAAACTTCCCATCTGTCCTCTGAGCACGGCCATCTGAGTGGGTAGGAAGTGGCATGTCATTGCGATTTGATCTGCGTTGCCCTGATGACTAAAGCTCACTGTCAATTTTCAAGGTGCAAGTCATGCAATCCTTGGTTAAATTCCTTCTGAAGCATTTTATTATCTTTGATGATATTTAAGTAGAATTATTGTTTTTAATTCACTTTTTTTCCCCCATTGCTATGAAGTAGAAAGACAGTAGATTTTTGCACCTGGATCTTGTATCCTTCAAATTTGTTGAAATCACTTACTAGGGCTAGTAGTGTTTTTTGATGGATTTCTTGTGATTTTCCATATATGAGATCATGTCATCTGTAAATGGAATCATCTTCCTTCCTCCTTTCTGAGATAGAGATCTTTCCCTTCTGTCATCTTGCCTAACCATGTGGACAAGCATGTCCAGGAAGATGGTAAATGGATGTGGTCAGAGTGGATCTGTTCATCTTGCTCCTTTCACCTTATAGGTGTCAGCTGGGGGTTTCGTGGCCGTCCCTTTATCAGCTTTGAGGAGTTGCCATCCGTTCCTAGCTGGTCGAGTGTTTTCTTCATGAAGCGGAGTTATATTCTGTCAGAAGCACTTTTTCTGGATCTATTGAAATGATCACGGGGTTTGTCCTTTCTCCTACTGAAGCGGTCTATCACATTCACGGACTTTGGAATGCTAGACCACTTGGGGGATGACTCCCACTTGGACATGGTTATAGGCCCTTCAGTTTGCCATTATTTTCTGAAAAATTTTCTATCTATATTAATAAGAGATACTGCTCTGGTTTTCTTGTGAGGTTTTCATGTAGTTTTGTCATCAGGGCAATACTAGTTTCATGGAATGGGAAGTCTTTCCTCCTTTCTATTCTTCCGAAGAGCCCGTGAAGGATGGCTATTAATTCCTCTCTAAATGTTTGGTAGAATTCATCAGGGAAGCTGTCTGGACTTGGGCTCTCCTTTGTGAGATTTCTAATTCCTCATGTAACCCAGTGTGTTACAGTTGTGTTCACAACTCCTACTTCTTCTTGAATCGGTTTGGTGATCTGTGTCTCCACAGGAATCGGAGCATCTCCCGCGGGTTAAATTGTCAGCAGTGCTGTTCACAACACGTCCGTGTCTCCCTTTTTATTTCTGTGAAGTAGGTAGTAATGTCCTCTCTTCCAGTCTTGATTTTATTCATTTTATTTAGTCAAACGAAGGGTCTGTCTGCTTGATTCACCTTTTCACAGAGCCCACTTTTGGTTCTGTTGATTTTCTGTGTAGTTCTTCCAGGCTCTGTTGCCCTCGTTTCTGCTCTAGCCTCTGTCGTGCTTCCCTTCTGCTCCTCTCAGTCTTGCTTCACTGCTTCACCCAGTGTCTTGAGGTGGAAGTGTAGGTTGCTGACCTGAGAGCTATCTTCTTGTTTAAAGTAGGTGTTTCCATCTATGAATGCTCCTTCAGGTGCTGCTTTACCTGCATCCCATAAACATGGCTGTGTGGCTCTTCATTTTCATTCCTCTCAAAATATTCCCAGACCTCCCTTGTGATTTCTTCTTTCACCCACTGGCTATTTAGAACTGTCTTATTTAATTTTCACCTATTTGTGAATTCCCCAAATTTATTTTGGTTATTAATTTCTAACTCCCCTCTGTTGTTACTGGAGAATATATTTTATATGCCCTTTATCCTTTTCCATGTGTACAGGCTTCCTCTGTGGCCAGCAGGTTGTCTAACCCAGAGAGTGTGCTGCAGGAGTGTAAGAGCATATCCTCCTGCTGCGTAGACGGGGTGTTCTGCACATGTCCTCCTGGTCGGGCTGGTTCAGTAGCACCGTTTACATTGTCTGTCTCCCTGCTGGTCCTCTGGTCTGTCTGTCCGTTGCTGAGAGGGGAGGGGGTGTCTGCCGCTGTTATTTTTGAGTTGCCTTTTTCTCTCTTGGATTCTGCCAATTTGGGGGCCATGTCATTAGATGCACACATAATTTTCCTATCTTCCTGATGGAGTGATACTTCTGTCACAAGCAAATACCCCTCTGGATCTGTTGTAACACTGTTTTCATCTGAAAGTCTATTCTGTCTGATATTAGTACAGTCTGCTTGTAGCTGATGGTGGCGTGGTGGGTCTTTCTCCACCCATTTGCTTACAACCTATTTGTATCTCTGAATCTAACCAGGCCCCTGTAGACAGACAGCATGTAGTTAGATGCGGCTTCACAGCCCGTCTGACAGTACTTGCCTTTTGACTGATGGTTTGTCCATTCACATTGAATGTCCCTGACATGGCTTTATGCCCAACATTTCACTCTTGTTTTCTATGTGCCCCATGTCCTGTTTGTTCCTCATTTACTGCCTTCTTTTGCATTCAGTGGATATTTTCTGGGGTGAAATCTTAATTTCTTTGATGCCCTTTTCCACTACTTTTGGAATAATTTTCTCAGTGGTTGCACGAGGGCTGGCCCTTACTTTGAACCTGGAATAGACCACTTCACCTTTACAGTCCGATTCCAGTGAGATACGGAAACGCTGTGTCATAGCTCTATTCTCCTGTTCCACCTGTTGTGTTAGTACCATTACACAGCATGTCCATCCATGTATGTTACAGATGCGACAATCCAGTGTGATCATTGCTGCTTTAAATTTCAAGTTCATTAAAGAAGCTGAGACAAGAAGGGACAGAATGTATATATTTACAGGGTTTGCTCTGCTGGCCTTCTTCACCATTTTGACTCCTCTTCACTTGGTCCTGTGCATTCAAACTACCATCTGGCATCATTGCCTTAACTCAAAACTTTGCCTCCATCCACCTACTTTGTACGACTTTTGTCAAAGATAATACATTTCTATGTTATATTTTCAATGACACAGTTATACAGATATTGTTTTACACGATTGCTTTTTAAGTCAGTGAAGGAAACAAAGAAGAAAAATACAACTTTCCTCTGTATTTTATAATTACATGACCATCTCTACTGGCATTCTTTGTGGATTTGTGTTTCTGTGCGGGGGTGCCTGCTTTCAGCCCGAGGAACTTCCCTTAGCATCTCCTATAAGGCAGACAAATTTTCTCCAATTTTGTCTGTTGGGGAATGCCTTTATTTTGCCTTCATTTTTATAAGACCGTCTTGCTGGATGAAAGATTTTTGGTTGACAGAATTTTTGTCTTTCAGCACTTTGAACACGTCACACACTGCCTTGACCTCCACTGATGCTGATGAGTGTCTCCTGACAGTCATGGTGGACTGAATGACAAGTTGTTCTTCTCTCTCCGCTTTTCTCTTTATTTCTAAGATGCAGGTGGATGTGGATTTCTTTGTATTTTTCCTAACTGGAGTTCATTAAGTTTCTTTCATGTGTACCAAATTTCAATAAATTTTGGGAGTTTGAGCAATTATTTCTTGGTCTACTTTCCTGGTGCTCCCCTGATGTATATGCTGGTGTGCTTACAGGTTTCACACCTTTTCCAGAGGTTCTATTCATTTATCTTCTATTTTTCTCTGTTTTTAGGATTGCATCATGTCTACTAATCTAATAGTTTGCAGATTCCTTTTTTGTCTGTTCAAATCTACTCTTGAGTCCTCTAGAGAACATCCTCATTTCAGTGATTTTCAACTCTAGGATTATAATTTAAAAAATAGTTTCTATCTCTTTATTGATATTTTCTATCTGATGAGAAATTATCATATTTTCCTTCTTTTCCATAATGCAGTTTCCTTTAGTTCTTTGAACATATTTATAATGACTGTTTTGGCTTCTTATTAATTCCAACATCGGGCATTCTCATGGGGAGTTCCTATTATTGGTTTCCCTGCTGTGGATGAGTCTCACTTTCCTGTTTCTTGCATGTCTTATAACTTTTTGTTGAAAACAGGACATTTTAGGAAATGAAGAAACTTTAGATAGTGATGCCTTTCCTCCACACAGTTTTTGTTGTTGCTGTCGCTATTTGTGTGCTTTGCTGAGTGACTTAGTTCGCCTCTTCCAGGGAAGTCTGCCCGGCCCCACCCTCCCAGCAGCAGGAAGGACACAGCCACGAGCACGCACACAGGTACTGGGAGACAGTAGTTTAAGGAGGGCTCTTCTTAGCTGCCTCTCCCCAATCTCTCTGTTACGATGTCTCCCTTGGTATCACAACAACCCCACTAATTATTGACTGCCTTACTGTTTTCAATAATGGCCTGGGGCATAAATTTCTCCACTGTCTGATCCGGTTAAACTGGGGCAGGGATACTTTTAGAAGCCAGTCTGAGGTTTGTCCTAACCCCAGGCTCTTCTTAACCTCGAGTGAACTAGGTGGCCTATTAGCTTGTTGCTCATTATGAGCTGTATCCCACTCCCACCCCCCACCATTCACTCATTGAAGTCCCAAGTCCAGGACCTCAGAATGTGGCTGTATTTGGAGACAGGGCCTTTTAAGTGGTGATTAAGTTAAAATGAGGCCATTGGAGAGGGTTTCAATCCAACCTGACTGGTGTCCTTACAGGAAGAGAAGAGTAGGGTACAGAGGGTCCTCCAGAGAGGACACATACAGAGGAAAGCCCACATGAGTGCAGCACAAGGCAGCCACACAAGCCAAGGGCAGAGGCCCCAGGAGAAACCACCCCTGCCTGCACCTTGGTCCCCGATTTTCCAGTCTGCAGAACTGTAAAGAGCATATTTCTGTGGCACTTTGTTATGGTGCCCAAGCAGACTGCTAACTGCTCTCAGTTGAGAAGAGCTTGTGTTTCTAAACTTCCCCACAGCACGTTTTGGACACAGGTAGAAGAAAGTCAGTTCCTTTGGGAAGGACTTCAGAGCTCTCTCTTCTTATGGGCTGCCTCTCCTCCTGGGCTAAAATCTCCAGAAGTAAAAATCGCCACTCGGGGCACTGGGCAGGGCTGTGGCCTCCGGTCTCTTGGCTGGCTCTGTCACTATGAAACCTTTGTGCTGATGGAGGGTGGAAAGAGCCCTTGGGACCGCAGTATTCCTGGCCTCTGTCATAGGAGTGGGGGTCCACATGGGTCCCCAGGCATCCACCCCACCCACTGGTAATTTGGCCCCTTCAACTGTGTGCTGGTGAGATGGCCACCCTGTGGGAAGCGACACACATGCCCAGAGTGGACCTTCTGACCACGGACCTCCCCGCTGTAGCATCATCAAGGTGCCACTTTCGTGGTTTACGTTTGTCCTGACTGTTTATTCCTTTATCCAAGAGAGTGGGGTGGATGCTTACCCACCCTGCTCCCAAATTTAGCACAGAGAATAGTGAACATTCAGTAAGTAACAGGAGGGCCCTAGGCGGAAGACACAGGTGCCTCAGGTGAAGGGCAGTGAGGCCTCAGGTGGGGGTGGGGGTGGGGTGAGGTCCGAGGGGGACAACAGACTAGGACCTCACACCCTACAGAGAGAAGGGGAAGATGACGGGGCCTGGGCTGCACGAGGTCTTTGAGGGCCATCACCCCAACGCTCCCCTGCTGGCCACGGCCCCAAGGCTCAGAGCGGAAGGGGGCGGTCTGGAGGCCAGCGCGGCTCCAGGTGCCGCCGCAGCTGCGCTCACCTGCACCTGGCGCTGCAGCTGCCTGGCCCGCTGCTCCGAGATGCGCCCCCAGCGCCCGTCCTGCGCAGGCATCGCCGGGCCCAGCTCTCAGCCGAAACACTGTAACAGAATCCACCGGAATCCGCGTGGGCGGGCGTTTGCGCCCCTCCCCCACCGTGGTTTCCACGCGACGGGGTCAGGGGTTGGCGGCGGAAGGAGGGGGGAGGGGTCGGAGGGCCCTGTGGGGGAGGGGAGTGGCTCCGTTTGAAGACCATTTCCTAAAGTGTGGCTGCTCCGAATGCCATACAAACAAGCGTCTTCGGGGCGGGGGACGAGGGGCTTCACTGCTGTCCTCACGTCCGCCAGGCGACCACGGCTTCCTTTCCCGGAGGAACGGCCCCGCGGCGAGGGGTCCTGCGTGGGGGCCGCGCCCAGACAGCGTGGGGCGCACGGGTACTCAGTTCAGGGTCCGCGGCCTCACCGCGCGCATCCGGAGGAACAGGCAGGGCCTCGTGCGGAGAAGCCGCATCCTCGTCCCAGCCGCTGCTCGGGAGAGGCCGCCTGCAACCCAGCCCAGACAGGCCGCGGGTTGGGGTCCGCTGCGCGGGCGCGAGGCCTCTTTGCGCACTGCGGCGGCCGGCTAGGCGGGGGGCCACCTGCTGACCGGCTCCGGGCCCCGTGGGACGCACGCACGACCCGCACCGCGTGTGCCGCGTGCGCGCTGTGCATTCCGTGCAGCTGCTCCCCGACCGGGTGGGGACCTGGGCCGGGGCCGGGCCGCCACACTGGCCGGAGTGTCAGGGTGCTGCCGCCTGCTGGCCCCCGTGTCCCTCCCACCACTGCCCGTGCCCGAGGCACGTATCCAGACAGAAGCTGGTGTCGCAGCCGCTCGCCTGCACCTGCACACGGTGGGTCGCCCGGCCTCCAGGCTGACGCCCGCCACAGGTGGCGCAGAAAACACAGCGGGTTTGAAAAGGCTTCCTGTGAAAACTGTGGAGCGCACTGGGTCGTGCGCACATTTTGCGCCGACTGCATACCTCGAGGCTGGTTGCCGGACACGTGGCTAAGTAGAATATGCTGGAACTTACTTCTGTTTGCCTCTTTTCTTCCGCAGCTGCGGGAGAACAAGGCCCCGTGCTATGGGGCGCCGGACCTTCGCCTTGACCGGGAGTGTGCGGGACGCCGCTCCCAGGGGTGAGGCGGTGGCTGCTCGGCTGCTGAGTCCGGTGCTGCCTGGCAGTCCCTGGCGCCCTGACTCTGGTCCGGGGGAGCGGCCCCTGCAGGCAGCCGCGTGAGGGCTCTGAAGGGGTCTTCGGTGGAAAGCCCTGGTCTCCAGCGCCCCAGCTCCCGCTGCCCTGGCCCTGCGCTCCTGGCGTGTGCAGGCGGCGGCCTCTCTGCAAGGGGTCTCCTCCACCGCTGACAGCCCTCCTGCTGCGGAGGGAAGCTTCCGGGAAGGGCCCGTGCCCGGAGTTAGGTGGGGCCGCCCGGAGCGCCCTGTGCACCTGCCGTGCACGAACAAGGGAGGAATCGGGTCTGTGTCCCTGTGGACCTACTGCCTGCATCTGCTGTGGGACACTTGGAACCAGAGGCCCCGGTCACTGACGTGGCAGGCACTCAGGATTCGTATCTGTGTAATGAAGGAATGACTTTGCCATGACTTTGAACAGCGGCTGGAGCGGTGCACTGAAGCCCGTCCCTCGGCGTCTCCTCTCCAGGCGACGCTGCGCTGCAGGGGACACTGCCGCTGAGGCCGTACTGAGCTGCTTCCCTGACCATCCGACTGCGCGGCCCCATGGGCACCGCCTCCAGATTTCTGCAGGGGTTTGGCCTCCTGCCAGGCCTGGTGGGGGATCCCGTGCAGGGGGCGGAACTAAGCTGGGCTCTCTGCCCCTGCCCATCCCCCCCCCCAAATCCGGTCCCCAGGGCGTCTGGCGCTCCATGGGGTCTGGTTTCTGCGACGCCCACCACCCAGAGCCCCCGTAGGTCCTCACCTTCGTGAGGAGCGACAGAACCGTGGTCCCGAGAGCTGGACTCAACGTCTAGGTTGTCCTCTGGAACCTTGGAGCACCATTCTGGGCATTCAGATCCACAACCAGTGGGTGTCCCCGTTCGGTGTGTAGGCAGCTGGGCCAACCCCAACGCCTCCCTGAGCCTCGGCAGCCCTAAGACGTCCCCACCCGCCACCCCTTCGGGAAAGCTCTTCCCGAGATTCCACGGCAGCATCCTCCCTAGCACGCCTGCTCCGGGGCCTCGAAGGAAGGTGGCCAAGGCACAGGGAGCACAGGAGGCAGCTCCTGGGAGAGGCAGGGCAGAGGCCCCTCCAGGGCGGCCGGAGCTCCAGGCTCCCTTCTCGCGGCCCCTGTGCGCTTCTGTGACCCCACTGCCCCCCATGAGCCACCTCAGGCGGGTCCTCCCCCCTATTGCATCGCCAGGACACCTGGTCCACACAGCTTCCCAAGCTTGGGGTGAGCTTAAGAATCCGAGACCGTGAAGGGGCCGCGTGAGTCTGTGTGACCACGGCGTCTGGGGATGTGCCAGCGGGTTTTGCAAACAGGGTTGGGGAGTTGAGCTCGGGAGAGCAGGGCCAGAGTCGCCTGGGGCCTCTGTCAAACTGTCTGCACAGTCAGGACAAACTGGAAAGAGCGTCTGACAGACCCTCAGGAGACCTTTCGTGAATGACCACACAGGCAGAAGGGGACGGGAGGCGAGGCTGCCGATCACAGATGAGATTCTGCCTGCCAGACTGCAGCCAGAGCAAACACTTAAATACATACAAAGTTTATTAAAAATAGATTGCAGATGAAGCACAGTAGAAATGGGGAGGTACAGCAGCTGTGACGGCCACAGTGACGCACAGTCCTGAAAAGCACGTGTTCACATCTGACCCATCACTCGAGGGCAGCCCGGCCCACCTGCTCACAGGCCTGACGACACACGCACACACACCCCCGTATGCCAGGATTTACATGTACTTGCAGGTACTTAGGTGTGTGTATTAACAGAAAAGCCACTCATCTGCGTTTTTTCATCAAAGAAAGCGTGGATTTCGTCCCTGTAAGGTGGCCAGTGTTCGAGAGTGCCCCGGGTAGGGCCTGCTTTTCCTGAAGCCTCCAGAGCAGACACCCACATCCTTCATCAACACTTAGTGCCACCGCGTGACTCCCTTAGACAAGGGGAACGGTGAGAGCACACTTCCAGATAAGAACCCTGATCGACATAAGAATATTTACACTCACATTTCAGTGATTAATCGTGCAGCTCTCATTAAAGTGATTTCTACGGCTAGAAAGCCTCCCTCTTCTACTTGAAAGTGTGCATTTCCCTAACATACGTATCTGTAAGAAAACAATCTGGTAAAGAAGAATCATGGAGATCCTACAGCAGGGCTCGTCACGTAAGAGGTTTGCTCATTACCACAAGGTAATTCAGCACTGTCCGAGCACACGGGATGAAACCCAGTGAGCTCCGTCTCCCCAGCATCAGCCACATGGTCACAGCTGGGAGACAACAGTGATCACCAGTGACTCACATGAAAATTAAATAACTTTCTATTTGATGTTTAAAAAAAAAAAAAAAAAAAGGCTTGAACTGCCGCACGAGTCTGTCCGACATTTTTAGTCACAGACACCACATGTCAACGAGCCTTCCATCCGGGACAGCCCGCGGCCGTAACTCGGCCCTCCTCTGCAGCCCCGTGCTCAGGCGTCCCTCACCACCCATCCCTCTCAGATGCTTCCGTTTCTCTCCACATCAATACGGCCCAGATAAACGCCCTCGTTTCAGGGTCCCCTGAAGAGTCAAAATCCTCTGTGAACTAACTTAACTGCCATCTTCAAAATCACCAATGATTTATTAGCCTAACAATACTCTGGCATTTATAAAAATAAAGTATCCTAAGCTTAAATCCTCAAAATTGTCTTCTTGGAGCATTTTTAAAAAAATCATGGATGTAGAATATCCCAGGAGGGCTGTCCCCAGAGGGAAGGAGGACAGGGGCAGGGGCCTGACAGGCACCACCTCCCTTTTGGGCTATGTGGGTCTGAGCTGCCTGGGGACCACCCACGGGGGGCGGGTGAGGGGGCCGTCCCCCAGAGGTTCTCTCTCCTGGAAGGGGACAGGTCACCCTCTGGGCACGTGGTCTGCAGCTGCTCCCCCATAGTGCAAACAAGGTCTGGGCAGTTCAAGCTGGTCCCCACCCCACGGCCGCAGCATCGTGAACGACACAGCACGCACACGGCCTCTCTGCGACACGCAGGGCTGGGGGGAAGACACGTCCCCACTGTGCTCTCCTGCCCTGCATTCTCCCCTCCCCCACTCAGACTTTAAAAAAAGAAACAAAAAACTTATCTTCCTGTGAGTCAGGTAATTAAGAAATGAGACAGTGTTTACATCATGTAAGTGATCATCTCTTGGTGAAAGAAAAGAACTTCTTGGAACAGGACCGTCTCTGGGGCCCAGCCGACTCCAAAATGGCGCTTCGGTGACTCGGGCATGCCGGTGTGGCCTCCTCGCCGAGCCCGTCCTCCGGAGCCGCGCCCCCAGGACCCTGGGGTGGCCCGGGCACCTCATCCTTGGCTCATTTTGTGTTCAGTTCGTTTTCCAGTTCTGTCAATTTACGAGAGGCTTTTACTTTGTTGGACACATCTTGACCTTGTGAAAAAAGACGCTGGCGCTCTTTGAATGTCAAGTTTTCAGGGGCTCCCGAGCTTCCGGGCAAGTCCGCATCGTGGCTGCAGTGGAGGAAATGCAGACATCACTGGTCAACATGGGTCAGCCGCTACTCCCACTCAGTCGGTCACTCTACATAAGGGACAATTAAGTACTGTTCCAAGAGGGAGACTCACTCCTTGTTAACTTTGCCATAACCCTTCCCATAAACACAATCACTGGGGCTGTCGTTAGACATGTTCTCCTAACTAAGCTGCTGACTTTCTCCAGCCACGCCCAACTCTCAAAATGCAGGTCCCTTCAATTTGAGCAGGTCGGGGATTCTTCACAGGTGAGTTTAACTAAAGAGGTACAGCTTAAAAACACGGACCTGTGCGGCGCCCACATGCACCTGGGAAACATCTGTCAGCAGACCTACCTTAACAAGTTGCTGTAAGAACCTACACATTTCTCGGGGACTCGATGTTCGTGTTCTAAGAACGGTCTGGACTACAGGCTAGATGAGGCACTCGGTGCAGACACGGGGCCCGCTCGCTGTGTGTCCTCAGGGCTGGACTTGGGCAGTCTCGCAGCTGTCTGGACACTGCCCCCGACTCCCCGCCCTCGCCGGCGGAAGCACACGGCAGCACGCCCAGCTCCCATGCGAGTTTGCACCCATAAGCCCCATACCCGCAGCCCCGTCTGAAACGCAGCTCTACAGCAGCGCAGAACCAAAGAGCGTCCAGGCTCCCCGCTTGCGCGCAACGAGAAACATCCAAGAACATAATGAGGTCTCTCTGTTTGCTCCAGCCGCCTGCAGAGCCAGCCCAGCCGTAAATACCTTTTAGGCGGTCTCTCTCTCGAATCCCGGTAAGCATCATGGGCCCCAACAGCTGTCCCAGCCGATCCCATGTAAGAGTTGGGTCCTTTTCCATAAAAGAAAAAAATCAAAGTTAAAGTGCCTGCAGTTTCTAAAACTTTACTCACGATCAAGATGCAGTGCCACGGAGGAGAACGCAGAAGCCGACAGGAGGCCCGGGAGTCTGAAGCTCGCAGCACTCGGTGACCTGAGGTACCCAGTGACCCGGCCGCAGGCGCGTGGTGCTCCGAGCCAGCCACGCCGTGGGAACGGGCGGGCACGGCCCAGGCCTTAGGCAGCGACAGCCAGACGGGGCACATCAGTTAAGATGCATAATTAGCAAGAATTCACAGGGAAAACCCACAGAAGACTGACTCAAATAGGGAGACTGTGAGACACTCCTGACGTGAAGGGTCACCTCTCAAAGTGACCGAAGGCAAATGAAACCCCAGCAGTGAGCAGGGGCCGCGCCTCGAGCCTCTCTTTTCAGGACGCCACGGAAGCTTTTTGCTACATATACGGCTACAGTTACCAAGACAAAACTCTTTACACCAAGTTTCCGCGGCACAGGAAACCCCGTGTTTGATAGAAATGCTGCAGACACAAGGTCACCCGACGCCGGACAGCAAGCTGTGCGGAGGAGAAGCGCACGAGCCTGTGGGACACCGGCCTATGCCCAGCCCAGCCCCGGGGGTGACCGGCGGCAGCCGGCAAGGAACAGCACGGCGTGCTCTATCCACTCCAAAGGGGTGTTCGAGGTCAAAAGAGAGGATGCAGATACAAAACTTAAAATGTATCCAAACAGACCACCACTAATGATACACTACTTACATCACAGCGCCCTGCTGTTCTGTTAATTTTAACATCAGCAAGAAGAGAACATTCCACACCAGCAGCACGTCTCACGTACAACCCCACCGAGCCGTAGCGATATGTGCCCAAGACGCCCGGCGAAGGCGGACAGTGCTGGGTGCGGATCAGACAGGCCGCAGGAGTGACACCGTGCCTCAGCGTGGAAGTTTCCCTTCTCGGCAGAATGAAAATGACCCCCTGCTGGGTTTCTGGGCGCAGGGACGCGCCGGGCAGCCCCCGCTGGCTGGCCGCGCCTCCTCAGGGCACTGCATCTTTCCCGCTCCTCTGCGACGGCCCCTGAGATGGCCGCGTGCGAAAGCCTCCCCCGCAAGACTCAGAAGAGGACAGAGGACACTGCCCCACACGCCCACGTGGGGTCGCCACCCTGGACCCCCACAGCAGTGATCAGCAGAGTGCGGTTCTTTACGATTTTAATTCTACATTTTCCTTGTTTTAGAAAATGTGTTGTATCTTTTGAGCTTTCCTGTAAGAATGATACCTGCTTCTTCCACTGGTAATTTTCTTCACAATTTTCAAAATTAATCAGAATATTACATCCTTTCAGTGGATGTGGATGAAATAATCCTGCACGTTCCAAGTAATCTTCGAAAGCGCTCTAGTCAAAGAACATTTTTAAAAAATACGTTGCTACGCTAGAATGAGACACTCTATTCCAACTCGCACCCCGATGCTCCTCCTCAGGCAGCCAGTGGAAGAAGCCAGTCCCCCCCCAGGAGCATGCTGAGCGCTCACGACAGAGAAACGAGCTGAACCCAGGGGCGCGGCCTCGCCAGGGGCGTGGCAGTGAGGGGGTCAGAATCACGCTGACGGGGTGCACACGGCTTCGTACTGTGCGAAGGCAGTCTTCAGAGAGGCACGAGCCACCAGATGCAGGATGTAACCTGCTCCGACGTGGTCTTTTCAGTGTGAAATAAAGTAAGGGTTAGTGGTCTGAGGGAAAGCCAGGTGGTCAGCAATGAAAACCTAGCCCAACATCGCGTTAGCAGCCTGGTCTATGCCAAGACACACAACGCGGGTTTTCAGCTTGTGACGTGACACAAGGGAACTGAGGGCATCTTGCTTCAAAAATGACTATTATCCCAAAACGTCTTTCTAGATATCGACGACAGAAATTTTATAAGAAGATTTGATTCTGGCCGCCGAGGGACTCCGTCTCAATATGATATACTGAGACTTCGGGGCAGGTCAAAGCTCTGACACTCACGGGAAGAGACCCTGGCAGAACTCGTTTGTTCTGGAAGAGCCAAGGTCACGCATGTTTTTGATTATTCAGCTTCTTTCAGGATCCTGAGCTCTGGGCACGACACCAGGAGCATTTTAAAAGACCCTTGTGTCCGTGAAGACCACTAAATCGGACCATAGTTACTGCCAGCATTCTAATTTTAAGCTAGTAGAGGAACCTGGAATTTGGATATTTGCACACGGGTCTTGGACACTGGTTAGGGTGGACGTGCCTGTGGGCAGGACCACTGTCATGCTGGTCTTCAGAGACTGTATTAAGGCAACTGTGTGACTGTCAAGGTCTGGGCACTAGGACCATGACGTGCAGGGAGTATCACGTAAGAGGGGGAACAAAACCAGCGAGAGGGAAAAGGAGTAATTTCACGATGGCTGGGTTCTGTGTCGCATTAAAGCAGGACCATTAGTCAGCGTGGCACCAACAACTCTGTCCCAACTACCACAGAAAGTGGGGGTTGTCTGGTAAAACCCAGCCACGGGGCACATAAGCCAGAACGGAAAGTTCTACTCATGTTAAAGAATGGAAACTAGCACGTGACCACGACACTGCTGGAAGAACAGCTCACTCTTTCTCTTTAGACACCAAGATGCGTTAAAAAAGCATGTGTTCAACCAAATGTAAGAGTTATTTGAAGAGGCAGCGAATGGAGGCCAAGACCAACGGTACTTCAAGTGACCAGGAGTAACGGAGGGCCAGCTGCCGCCAGCCAGTCCGAGGGACAGCACCCTACAGGTGGAGAGCTGGGGAGCTGGGGTAGGTGCTAGAAGGACTCTTAGCACAGACAGGACAACCGGAGGCAGGGGAAGATCAGCACGCTGAGGCCAGTGATCAGGTGAAACCAGAGCGAGTGCTGATTGAGGGGCCCACACTGCAGCGGGGGGCAGAGTCCCGATTTTAATCAAGAGGATAAAGAGGGCTTGATTTGCAGTCCCACGTTTTACCTCTACCTTTCGAGTGGCTGGGCTGGTAGAAGCCTGGTTTTTTTGGAGGGGGCAAGGGCTGGCCCGCTGTGCGAGCAGTACTGTTGGCACGGGCCGAGGGTGGCTGGAATGAGTTGGAGAGAAAGATGCCATCGGAGGCCGGGCGCGGCGGGCAAGGGGGCTGCTGTGGCTCAGGGGTGGCGGGAAGCAGAAGGTGCCCGTGGGACTTCCTGGTGCCAGCGTGCTTATCCTGACCTGCCAGACTGCAGGGCTCCTCCTCCTCCTCCTCCTCGTGGTACGAAATGAGCCTGGCGGTGTACAGGGAGTCTGGGGAGAGGGCCGGGGCCTGGAGGGAGGAGGCGGTCCGCTGAGGCGGGGGAGGAGGGGCGGCAGCCGGAGGGGTCGGCGACGGGAGCTCATAGCCCCGCGGAAGCGGAGGTCTGCACAGACCCGGCTCCTCGGGCTCCAGCACCCTGCGCTCGGCCGCGGCGTGCTGTCTGCGCCTCTCAGCCTCCAGGCGGCCGTAGTAGCCTTCTTCCTGTCGCCTCTGCAGGCCGGAGAGACAAAAGCACAAGTCAGAGTCAGGAGGGGACTTCAGGGCACACGAAAGGGCGCATTTACCCTCCGTACCCCACCGCCACACTGACTGTGAGTCCCGGGGGACAGCGACGTTTCAACGTAACAGTCTACGACAGGACCGGGCCGATTCCCCGGAAACACTCATCCTGTCACGGGACCATCTGACCTGGCACGGCCCCACGCACGGAGCGCGGGGACTCTACGCACTCCCGGGCTCCAGCTTCCTACTGCGCCCCTGTCCCCGTCCCTAGTGCTCCAGACCCAGAATTCTCTGCCTCTCCACCTCTCTCCTTCTGTTCTTGCAGGACATGAACTTACCTGTGACTGCTCGGTTTAAAGACAAAACAAAACCCCAAATAGCCTCTCGCTGGCTTTCGAGAGCCGGCACTTGCGAGCACAGAGGCCCGCACGCCCGCTTCTCCGCCGCACCCCGGGAGGTCGGGGGCGGCCCCTCCTCGACCAGAAGGACCATTAAGTCACCTGGTTTCTTTCCAGTTATTCAGAAGGAAGTTAACACAAACCATCAACTGTAAAAAAAAAAAATGACTCATTTTCTCAAGGCAACAGTCTAACAATATGCTTTCCACAGTTCTTAGTTCATAGCTCGGATCGTAGCAGCCTCCTTGACAGACAGAAAATGAGAGCCAGGCGTTAAGAGCGACAGCAACACGGAATTCAAATATATTTGGACACGCACTGTACATTTTCTTCCGACGTACATCTGCACACACTACAGTTGACAGAGTTGAAATTATTTTCACATTAAAAAAGGTAAGAGCATGGTTCTGTTAAAGATTGACAAAAGCTGTCAAACACACGAAGGAAGTGAGCGTGAGAAGGGGATCCCAGACAGAAGGCCACGCCTTGGCTGGGAGCACGCAGGGCTGCGGCACGGGGTGACCTCGCGGCGCGCTCAGTGGAAGAGCGCTCATGCGGGCCCCAGCGGGCTCGGGGACACACGTGCTTGCTGTGCTGCTGGCGCTCCCACCCTGCGTCCCCAGGAGCACGCACGCCCCAGATGGCAGTGCCCAGTGCGTCCCCTTCTAAGGGGGGTGGGAACCACGAGGATGCGTGCCAGCCCCGGGCAGGGCCCTACACCCAACTTCTCACGCAATCTTCTCACTCTGTGTGGAGACATCCTGAAGGAGAGACATCTGGTACCTCATTTCCTCCACAAAGTTAAATGTTTGCATGAGGGGGACTCCACTCCAGAATGGCCTGGGTGACCTCTACATCAAGGGGTCAGGAATCATAGTGTGACACGGAGAACATTTTAGGAGGAAACCAAAATCCCCTTCAGTTACACGGAGAGCAGATACAAGTACATGACCCCACAATTATTCCACTGCAAGAGAATGGCACGTTTTCCGTAACAAAGCAAGCCCATCAACCGTGGACATTCTGTATAAAAAATAGGTTATTCAGCTTGTTTTTACAGCGAGCACTCAATTCTAGAAGCAGTTCCTAAGACACAAGCGTACTCGACACGATCGTGCGTTGTGAACACACAGGCTGCAAAGACCGAGCAGCCCCCAAGCGTCCCCAGAGAAGATGCGAGAAGGCGCGCTGCTCGGCAAGGCTGTCCCTGCTCCCACGCACGGTGGTGGGTCTGTGTGGTTGCCTGGGCGGGCGGAGGCCACCCACAGCCCAGGGACAGCAAGACCACATGCACCGCAACGGAGAAGCCGAGGGGCTCACGTTCTGGAAAACTGATTTCGATTCTACTTATCGTGACACCAGGTAAAGCGCCAAGGGAGACCTAACCCTGAAAGCTCAGACTCCTCCAGAAAACCGCACGGCTACTGGCACTCGGCCTTTGACGGGAATATGACGACAGACTTTAAGAAATGGTGAAGGTCTAGAAGACGCAGAGGTCGCGAGTTCCCACACAGGTACGTGTGCTAGCATTATTGCCTCTGCTTTCATTTACGTGAGTCTCATCGCTTCTGTCAATCTTGCTTTCGCTGGCCACAGATCCGCACAGGTTCTACCGCTACAAAAAGCTTCCTCAAAGTTCTGGCTCGGGGCGGGGAGGAGGGCGCTCTGTGAGGGCAGCTCACTGGACTACCAAAGGAGCGACGGACGGAAACCGAGCTCCTCCCCACCGGCAGCCGGCACTCCGGGCCGCCCTCCACAGAAGGGAGGCAGTGGCGGCTGCGCGTCTCCTGGCCCGTGTCCAGGACGGGCGAGCCCTGCGGGAGGGCCTAGCCGGCGTAGGCAGCAGCAGGCCGCGGGCCCCGTCTCTCAGAATCGGTCAAATCAGTTGTCATTTTAAAATTCAACTTAAAAAGATTACTTTCATAAGAAAAATCCACGTACGGAAAGCAAGCCGTAACTCAGGATACTTATCAGATCATATCCTGGCTGCATTCTCCTGGAATCGTGTTTTCCATACGCCACCTGCTCTCTTTCCCGTCAGCCCGCAGTGAGTGACGTCAGTGAATGATGTCAAGTGCGGGGTGGGAACAGACCGTTACTATGTTCCCGTCGCCTGCCACAGCTCGCACTGCCCCTGCCCGACGCGCGCACACGCACCCCCTCCCGGTAACCAGCCGGACCACATCCAGGAAAGGAAGAGCCCAGAGTGAGCGGGCGGGCTGCGCGGAGGCCCGCTCACCATAACCAGGCCAACGAGTTCAGAGGCAGGAGAGAGACAAGACTCACAGGGTAAGAGCGTCTGCGCACAGTTTGGAAGAGAGGTGGGTGGGCCAGGTCGGGCTCAAGTGCTGGGTCCGAGAACACAGGTGGGGGTCCAGGCCCTGTTCTGTACTCGGGTGTCTGAGGACACAGGTAAGGTCCAGCCCCTCTCCCCAGCCCATCGAGGGGTTCAGGCTAATCTGGTAAAGGTCTAAGCTGCCCCTAGAGGACCATAACCTTTTCTTCAGCATCTCGCTTTGTTCTCTCCTCCTCCTGGCGGCGCCGCTCGTCCTCCTGCCTGGCGCGGTCCTCGGCTTCCCTCTTGCGCATCTCTTCCAGCTGCTGCTGGCGCCTCCGCTCCTCGTCCTGCAACTGACAACACAGCGCCTTGAACCTCCGCTCCGCACGCCGGCCGCATGCGGCGTACAGGGCACATGCGGACACACGCAGACACACACACAGGGTTAAATACGAGATAACCAGGTTAGAATCACTGTTGAAGGACATTAAAACACACACATCTTAGAACTCTACAGTTTCAAAATTAAGTTACCTAAGGGTGTGGTCCCCAGAGTCCATTAATTTCCCATTAAACTGTGGCTTAGAGAAGGAAACGGTCTCCTGCATTCGCATGTTAAAGGAGCATGGTTCTTGTATCAGAATAAACGCAAGCTTAACCAGCTCCTGGAAAGCAGCAGACTCGGACAACAGGCGAAACTCTCAACGGATGGAACTCTGGAACCTGCTCAACCCCCTCTGCACTCTTCCCCTTGTGCCATCTGGCCTGTGCTCCAGGGGACTGTGGCGCACCGCCGCTGGCTCCCCTGGGGCCAGCACACGACTCGGGCGGGACAGGAGCCTGAGGCAAGCCTGTCTACATCAGCCCACCTGGGCCCGGGCACCAAGCTTCCAGCCGGCTGGCCGTGCCGTGTGCTCTCTTTGAACCCCGTCAAGAATTCCTTCACAGTCCAGGGGTACCCTCCAACCCTGAGTCAGAGAACCGGAACCTGAAACTCGGAAGGAACCTCATCGTACCTCCCTTCTGCTCCCTCTCTGCCAGGGATGGCCCGCTCTGTCTGGGAACCGACCACCCCGCTCCCCGAGACAGGGCGCTCTATCTCCAGGTAACTACTGGGCAAAAAGTTCTTCTGTGGGTCCAAAATTCACCACCTGACGGTTTGCTTTCTGTTTTTTGTCATTCGGGTTCTGCCTTCTTGAAACAACACGAAACAAATTTACTATGTTTCCTTCGCACCAAGCAAATGCTTCAGGATATTTTCAAAAATTTATGATGTAGCCTGTTTTGTTTCTGGCTCCTTTATCCTTCTGGTCAGATTTCTCTAAGTACTGTGGCTTCAGGGCACCTCTGGCCAGAGCAGGACGCCCTTCTGTCGTTACAGGCCAAGATAAAGGCAACTTTGAACGCCTGCTTCTCAGTTTCGGTCGTGTGAGACCGAGCTGGCCTGTAGCAGTGCCCACAGCCCCATGCTACCCTCGACATCAAAAGGAGTAGATTTAAAATTTAATAAGTGAAAATGTAACTCAATGGCACCCACTTAAATTGCCAAAAGCACTGTAGGAATCCCTTACATAAAACTGCTCATGGTGTATCTCAGTATTTACAGAATTACTAGTTATTGTATAAACTGTTCACAGCAGAAAATGGAAACCAGACTGAAATCCATTTTTATTTTTTTTAAGCAAAAACCTAACAACTTCACTCTTGCCCGGTTTCTGTGGAATGAACACTTCATCTGCTGGGAAAGTAACTAACTTGTGTCCCTATACTTTTTCATGTCAGTAAATAACGCTAAGACACCTTAGAAAAAAAAATGAAAACTGCCTCATCAAGAAGACAAACTTGATGTCGTCTTTTAGTACAACCTAGAAATATGCCCGGGAGGGCGGGCAGGGTGGCTTCTGCAGCAGGGGCAAGTGCTGCTGCCTGAGAAACCCAGCACCGAGGAAGGACCGTCCACCGTCCTGCTCCAGGGAGCACAAACCACGCCGCACGCAGGGCTCACGGCCGGCAGTGTTCTGAAGACTGCTCAAGCATGTTACAGCCGTCGGTCCAAATTATGAGAAACAGTACCCGAATAAAAGTAACACAATGAAACAGCGACTGAGAATACTAAGTATTCTACAGAAGAGTAATTTATGGAGGAATGTCAAACTGCATTAACGAAATAAGGTTTTCTGTTACCTAATACAGCACAAACTCATTCATCATGTTATACTCTCTAGACCTAATTAAAAACAAGTCTGAGCAAGAAAACCAGTATCCACTGAAACTGCCTGCTCCTTCTTCTAAATTAAAGAGGAGTATCCTTTTAAGAAACGAGAACAGTGAACGTTCTCGTAATTACAGGTACAGAATGTTATCTTATGAATCTGTAAACAGGCACTTTCTCTCGAAAGACTTCACTCTTCTAAATCCGGATGGGGGTAAGCGAGGCAACGTCTCCTGCCGTAGGTTCGCTCGTGCCGATTTCTGAAACGGGCAAACGAGCCAGTGCTGGGAGGACCGAGGCGGCCTCTCCACTGGGCGTTAAGCCGCTCCACGTCCCTCATCTTCAAAACACAGACTGCTCTGTTCCTCATACGTACGCTACTCTACCCTCCTTCCCCCAAACCACTAAGGACAGAAGAGAATCCAATCTCTTAATTTACTCCCAACAGTGGCTCAGAACAGTGCCGTGAGCTGACGTTCGGCCCCAAAGGGCAGTTCAACACGCTACAGACCTCAGGGCTGACGTCCGGGGACAGACTGCAGACTACGCTCACCCTGCAGTCACGAGCTCACACTTCCATAGGGACATGTGTCAAAGCCGCCCGGCAGGAAGGTACGTTCAGGGGAACGGATCGGAGTTGACAGATGGAGAATTCTCGCAGAATGAACCCAAGACAGCTCAGACCGAAGCTCTTCTAAACCAAGAACTCAGCTGGGATTCCCCAGTCCTCTAAGCCTGAACTAGCTCCGCTCCACTGTGGGCCAGTCCCCATTTCTCATTTTCAGGTCAACAAAAAAATACGTTTAAAACTATGTGTTTATGACTTTATACCACAAGACACTAGCTTCTATCTTGAACTTACAGTAAAAGCCCCATTAAGGGAGACAAGCACATTGAGCTATTGGAATACAAAACTGGGCCAAGGTGTCCCTTACTTTTCGACAATTTCACTCAAACTGTCAGACAAAGTCTGTTAAGCAGGTTGTTCTTAAGAACTTGGGCAAGACTTTTCTGCCTGTGTTCCTACCCATTAAAAATACCCTAACATTTTTAATATCCCCTCCCCCGAGGAACCCCTATGATCAGGCAACTTAATGCCTCCAGGCTTTGGCCTGCGACTCCAGGGTCCAGGCCAAGCGCTCAGCTGGCAGCCCCACGCGGAGAGCGCTGAGGGTGGGCTGTCCTCCCTAGGAAAGCCGTCCCTACCGTGCGGGCAGTCCGCCGGGAGCCAGCTCCCTGCCCTCGGCACAGCCCTGCCTCCGCCTGCTCAGTGGGGGCACGAGGACAACCTGATCAGGAGCTGCGGGAGCTATGGCTTAGCTGCTCCAACAGTCTGGCGGCAGGGACAGGATGTCACCCACAAGGAGGTCGCGAGGCTCCAAGAGCCCAAGGTGTGCACCCAAGGTACTCTTCGCGCAAGAGCCGCATGGGACACAGCAGGTGAGTCTCGTGTTCTGCTCTGGAACATGGGCCCGATGGTCTTACTGTGAACGTGCTCTCCGCGTTCCTGGAGCAAGATAGCCCACCCTTCGGCTTCCGCTGCCCCCTCCTGCAGCCAGGCGCTCCCGTGGAAAGAGGCAGGAGCAGCCCATCTCCCCAGACATGCACCCCACCACTGCGTTTCCCATGAGCTCCTGCTTTCAGTCCAAACCCTCCCGTGCCTGCCCAATTCCTGCCGTCCCACATGAAGACCAGCCAGGGAGGCAGCTGATGAGGGCAGATCTAGCCTGGGCCTTCGCAGGAGGAAAACAGGAGAGCTACCAGACTCCCTGAAAACATCCCTTCGCTGGCACGGGGCCAAGGCAGAGGGGCTTCCTCGTGAGCAGTCAGGTCCCGAATCAGCGGCTGAGCCGTTGTAACGGTACCGAGACAAAGCCCGAGACCAGCCAATACAGAGCCTGTCACACATCACGTCCAATTCTAGTTGAAAAATGGGTCCTAGCAAGAACTTCAGGAGCAGGAAAAGCTTCTGTCTAGCAGGATTTGAAATATATATAAACTGAGAACTCCAGTTAGAGTCCTGTCTCCTGGGGCGCTTGGGTGGCTCAGTGGGTTAAGCCTCTGCCTTCGGCTCAGGTCATGATCTCAGGGTCCTGGGATCGAGCCCCGCATCGGGCTCTCTGCTCAGCAGGGAGCCTGCTTCCCCTGCCCCGCTCTTGGCCTACCTCTCTGCCTACTTGTGATCTCTGTCAAATCAATAAATAAAATCTTAAAAAAAAAAAAGACTCCTGTCTCCCTGACGTCTGGTGAATCTCTTGAACACGGGCCTTGCCCCTGTGCTCTACCCACATCACACAGCTGTCACGAGGAGATGAGTGACGTACAGAACCATCTGGAGAGCTGGGGCAACAGAGGCATGAGGGGCCCATCCTGTCACCGGGTAGAAGGGACCCGCTGCCCTTCGCCCACAGCTAGGGGAAGCCACGGTGACGGCTGACCCCCCCCCCCACCCCACAGCGCCGTGGTGAAGGGGAGGGTGGATGGGGCCGTGGGGAGGCACGAATGAACTACAGCACTTCGTGGCCATGGGAAGACTTGGACGTGTCTTTAAGGGACAAGGGAGCCACTGCTGGGTTCTGAGGACTCCAGAGAGCTGACACTTCTTTAAGCAGGATCCCTGTAGCTGCTGCACCGGACAAAGGCAGAAGAGGGACTCAGCAAGAAGTCCTTTGCAGTGAGGAGACGGCAGTGGCTCGGGCCAGTGTGGGTGTCCGGGACTCAGATTCTGAGAAAGTGAAGACGGCGGGATTTCTCAGCGGACAGGAACAGGGCTTATGGTGACGAAGGTTCACCAGAAGGTCTTTCAAGTTTCTGCTGACACGGGCACAGCAGAAGGCACAGGTGAGCAGTTGGGTGGGCATTTCGGGAGAAACACACTAGGGTCTGCCACGACCTGACTCCCAGCGGAGGTGAGACATGGGCAAGCGCGTATGGGTCTTTGGTCTGAGAGGGCTCGGGCCAGCAGCGTGAGTGGGGGTCTCGGACCGGGAGGCTGCCCTTGAAGAGCAGAGGGCGAGCAGAGCCAGGCCTGCCACGACGATGCCGCTGAGCCCAGCCGTCCTCCCAGTCGGCCTGGACGCTCCGTATGCAGGGCACACCGTAGACCCCGCACAGGGGACACTTCTCTGTCTGTCGCACCCGCCACTGCCCTTCTCCTCTCAGAGGACTGACACCAGCAGAGGAGGACTCTCCACGCAGCCTGCCAGCTGACAGGACTCTGGAGATAAGGACACTGTGGCCGTCCCATTTGTATTCACTGGGGAATCAGGCTAAGAAATGCTCAGACTGAGGTAGTTCAAGTCAATATTAATACTCGACATAGTTACCTTTTAAAGAAAGAAAAACTCTGAAGTGTGTCTTTAAAATACAAATCTTGGTGTAACCCTTTCTCCCTGGGTATCACTCCTCTGCACAGAGGCCTCTCACCAGCCCACGGAGCTGGGGACCCCTCAGCCCGTGCGCCGGTCAGCACCCGGTGCGTAAGGGACACCCTGCGCGCGCGTGCGTGTGAGCAGCCGACCCTGGGAAACCGCTTTGAGTGTCCGACCGCCTGCCGCAGGTACACCTCCCCACACCGAAGTACGGAGGGGACATCTGTGTTTTCTGTCTCCTGTGGGAAAAGTAGAGCTAAAGCAGTGTGCCCCTCAGCCGTCAAGGAGGGCAGCTGTGTCCGCGAGCGACTTCTCTTTGGAGCAAACCGTGCCGCCACACTGCTTGAATTTAAAGAAAAAAAAAAATGAAGACAAAGGGCTTATTTGGTGACCGGGACTTTGGGACTGTTCACAGTCCCGTGTGACGCTGTCCATATTCACTTGGAAGCCGGCTGACAAAAATGACCTCAAGAGAACGTCACGGGTACGCCAGCAGGACGGGACTCTGGCCGACGACACAGGTGACGGTACTTGAGCGTCGCCAACACCAAAGGGCAACCAAACCTCCCCGAAACGGACAGCGGACGCACGGAACTGAGAGCAGGAAGGGCTCAGCGTTTCTCGGCCAACACTAACCGCACGGCTGATAAACCAAGTCCGCCCGGGATTATCAACGACAACACGGAGCAAGTGTCTACCGAAGGCTCGTGTGCCACTGACAGACGGTGCTAGCCTAGAGACTTGCACCTTCATCGGCAAAACAATGCGGACACAAATTCGTGTGTGTTTCTGATAGTTGATTATTCCAAATCTATCACACCGAGGTAGTAAAAATGAAACATCATTCACTGCAAAATTTCTTTCATTTGCTCATTTATGACTACATAAGAATACACGGAATCCGTTTTATGACTAAAACTGAGAAAAGGTCAAAAACCATAACAGACAGTACAGTCGAAATGAACGGAGGAAAGCAAAGAGGAACTAATCTAAACACACTGAGAGGCATGCGCTGGAGAGGACGCGGCTCCGCAGCCTGCTCTGGGACACCCCCAGGAACCGCTCCACAGAAACACAAAACCACCACCACTGAAAGGAAAAAGAAAATCAAGACAGGAAAAAAGTACCAAAGGGAAGGAAATGAGAACATACCAAATCTAGAACAGAGATTGCTGGCAGAGCAGTCTGCTGCAGGTAACAGAGAAGGAAAAAAAAGAAAGACGAAGTGTGAAAACACGTTCAGACCTGTCCGCCACCACCACCGGCGTGCTTGCTGCTCCCGCGCGTCACCCGTGCCTGAAGGACACTCTGGCGAGAACAGCAAACGCTACACACCGGCTTCCCGAACTCAGAAACAGGAAAATGTCCACAAATGTATTACACACTCGAGTTTCATTATTTGTTCTTCTAAGCAGAAGAAACTTTAAAAAAGCACAATTTCCCTGAGCTCTCTTATTGGGAGACTGAGATATTAACCTTAAACGTGATTAGTGATAAACACACAGATACTTTTAACGAAATCATCGTACAAAACTTTCCACATGTCGTGATTCATGTGAACAGGCTCTGAAACAGTCAGTGTTGAGCCGTCTGGGAAGCCCCGCGGACCGTTCGTGAGAACTCGCTGCGGGGAGTAAGCGTAGAAATGCCACAGAGCAGGTGCTGACTTTTCACTAGGGACGGGGTCACCACGGTGAAGGTGAATGAGGTCTGCTGGTTCACCAGAGACATCGGCTTCACACGCAGCGTGGACCGCAGCCAACACGCTCTCCTGTTTCAGGGGGTGAGATCTGAGGCCGGGAGCGCGCTCGGCTCCTGCGATCACCTCCTGCCACTAGCAGCACCGGAGGCAGAGGACCCTGCACCAAGCACTCAGCCACCGTGTGGACAAGGGAGGCCGGAGTCCTGACCCCAGAGTGGAGACTCTGCAAAGAATTTGGACATTGTAAGTGACCCATTAGTCACCGGTCAGTTGCTCTTTCAAATTTTAAGAATGTTTATTACTGGTGACTCAAATAAACCCGTAAAATCATGTCACAGTTAAGATCTGGGCTTTTGAGACACCGCAGTGTTCCTGCTGAATTTGGGGCCGAGTTCCACATACCTGTTGCTGAGAATACGTGCATAAGAAGACGTGTGTGACATGTTTCAGGAAAATAATCTACAGGGCAAACTCGAAAAGGGATCAGACTAGGGCTTTCCGTATGAACAATTATCTAAGATTAGGCTGCGTCCTGATGTGGAAAGACGGAAACGTCGGACTGAACAGGTGTCTCCTGAGACCTCTAGCAGACAGCCCCAAATCCACGCTGCCACTAGAAACCAGACCCAGAAGTCACGCTCCAGGCTGTCTTTCCCAGAACACTGCGCTGTAAACAAACCCATGGATGTGACCGGTCGCTTAAGTGCCCGTCAACAGTTCTCTGGACAGGGTAACAAAGACTCTCAAATTTGGCACGTTAAGGGATCTACTGTGTTCTACAAACACAAATTTCACTTCTGTTATTTGATTCGGAAGAACAAGTTACTTTTATCGAGGGGAAACGGGAGTAACACCCCAAACTCTCAGCGTCTCTATCCTGCCGCTGAAGCAGAGGAGCTTGGTGTCGGAGGAACCTGCCTCCTAAGGACGAGCGCCCCGTGGAGCCGCTCTCTGGTACTACGGTTCTCAGCAGTGCCCTCTGTCACCGCCGTCCAGGGCCGATAATCGAGACGGGGGTGAGCGCAGGACCTGCCGGCTGGCCGCCTGGGCGGCTCCAAGGAGCACAGCCCCCTCGCGGCACGGGCACCATCTCCCTCGGCTCCGTTGCTGGACCGGGCTGCACCGTGAAGACAGTCTGTACGGCCCACCTGGCCTCAGGCCCTCACTCTCTGGCCACTTAAGAAAAGGTTTTGCCAACCCCTGATGAGGACTATTACCGGTTACCAGCGAGCTAGTGGTTATTAACTCGTTTTCTCAACTGAAGCGTTAACGAGAAGCTACCTGAGGAGCCAAGCTCCGTGTGGACGGGGTTTACTCTTCACCGTCTGCGCCTCTCACCCTGGCTCGCCCTGCGGGACGCCGGCTAGCAGCAGCGGGTGCGGCACCACGCGGCAGGCCGGGGCCCTGGCCAACTCACCAGGAGCCCGGGCACGGCCGCCCCCAAAAGCGCCGCCCCGGGCACGCGCGCCCACAGCACCCGTCCCCTTTACCCTCGCTCTCCGCTCAGCCTCGAGGCGCTGCATGATCAGCATGGTGTCCACGTCGTCGTCCTCCTCGTCCTCATCCTCCTCGTCTTTCTGCTTGGACTCCTGCAGCCTCTTCTGGAACTGCCACTCCAGCATGAGCTTCCGCAGGCGGTCGCTCTCCTCCGCGCTGCGCTCGGGCCTGCTCTGCAGCTCCTGGATCTCGCGGCTCAGCATGTCCACGATGTGCATCTGCTGCTGCTTCTCCAGCTTCTCCCTGGCGTCCCGCTTCCACGGGTCCGGGGATAGGCTGTCTCCCGACGACAGCTCCTCCTTGCTGACCGTGACGTACTGCAGGTCTCTGCGCTCAATCGTGCGGGGCTGCAGCTGGGGCTGCAGCTCCCGAATGACCGTCTCCTGGGGCCTCTGGAGCGTGGAGGGCTTTTCTGGCTTCACGTGGGGGACGGTCCCCGGGGAAAACGGGGCTGGGTTCAGGGACTGAGAGCGCATCTGGCCCAGCTTCCGCTCCTGCTCCCTGCGCTTCCTGTCCCGTTCCTCTTCCAGCCGGGCCTTCTCCTTCTCATACCAGCGCTGGTGCTCCTCCCGCTTCCTGCGCTCCGCCGCCGCCACCTGAGCGGCTGCGGGTCCCGTCTGGCCGGCGGGAGGCGGAGGGAGAGGCAAGTCCACGGGGATTCCGTCCAAGTCCCCGGCATAGTGCGTGGGAGGTGGCGGGGGCGGTGGGGGCAGGTCTGTTTGGACCGGCTGGGACACGGCCACCGGCACAGGCTGCACGGCGGCTGGCGTCTTCCAGCGCCCAGGGCCGCTTTTGGTCAGAGTGGACGCGGGGGTGCCTGACTTGGAGGAGTGGTCCAGGTGCTCCTGGCTGGAGGTGCTGGAGCCCACGGAGGGGCTCTGATGGATCCACATGTCGCTATCGGACTTGCGGTCCAAGGCCGCCTCGATTCGACGCCGCTCTAGCTGGTAAGCTTTGTCCTCCCGAAGTTCCTCTTGGGAACGGGTAACACGCTGAGAAAAGAAAAAAGGAAAACTGTTCTATTTCAGCTGCTTAGAAAAAAATTACTAAAAGTGCATTAATATTTTGTCTCCAGGGAGAAAACATTTTAGGGAAATCGTCAGGGGAGTGCAGAACAGAGGCTGAGACCATCAGCTCTGTGGTTCTATGGGACGCACGAAGTAGGGGCGCCATGTTGGGGGTGGGGGAGTCCGGGCTTTTCCAGGGAATTTCTTTATCTGTTACAAACAAGGGAGAGCTGGGCCTCCCGTCTACATCACGGTGCGCGCGCACACACACATTCAGCTGCTTCACGGACGCGCGTGGCCTTCCCGCTCCTGCGTGGGTCCCTGCACACACCTGCACTGCGGCTCTTCCCGCGACGGACACTGAGAGGATGAGTGTGTTTAGTGTAGTGCAATTCTGAGTACGAGTCACGATCGAATCTTAAACGCGTCAGCCATGGCTCCACCAGCAGATGATGGACTCTGGGGACTGTGACAGAGCTGGGCACATGCCAGGACAAGCCAGGCATCCGGGTGTCTCAGTTCCCGTCTCACAAAGGTACAAAACGCAGTGTGTATGTGTGGAAGAGAACAAAAGGAACAGTCTTCCAGAGGCCTAGTCTCTGCACAACGGCACGTCTAAAAGTAGTTTAAATTGATAGAAATGATCCACTCTGATGTCAAACATTTTTTCCTGTCCTGTTAATGTGTAGAAATTAAAGATGCAAATCTGGAAAAGAAGCTATTTCCTTCCTTAAAAAATAAACCAACAAGAAAAAAAAGGGGTTCACTTGAAAACACAGTAGCCTGATAGAAGAATGGAACGTTTACTGCCCACATTTGCTCTATCTGTACGGTGCCCACAGAACCAGTTTCTTGCTCACCAAGCAGTATCCAGACCCTCAAAAGAGGCAGGGGTTGGGGGCACTGAACCCTGGGTGGTTAAAAATCCACACACCACTTCTGACTTCCCCCAGATCTTAACGACTAACAGCCGACTGCTGACCGGAAGCCTGATGGAAACAACAAGAGCCGATCACCCCGTATTCGGTATGTCTCAGCACACACCGTACTCTTACAGTACCGTCGAGCACGGACAAGAACACATCACTATGAGGAAGAGCACATACACGCGCAGCACTGTCCTGAAAATGTGGGCATAAAAGTGGACACGAGCAGTTCAACCGATGCTACTCATGTCAACGGTGTCATTCGACTTCCTGCTATTTGTCGAACACACACTCTTCAAGTGGACGATGTCAAGGGTCCTGCCTCAGACCCTCCACCGGCTCCTCCTGTCTGCTGCGGCACCGAACCTGCAGGGTCACACTCTGCTCTCCCTGCAGACCCTGCGCGGCCCTGGGGCCCTTGCTGCCATCTCCCATGTATCCCCTGCTGAAGTCCTACGCTGAGGCTCAGTCATGTCAAGATCCACAGAACTGACCCGTCGCCACACGGACCTCTCTGCGTTCCGACTTCCTCTTCGAGCTCACTGACGCCCGAAATGAGGCAGAAGCCAGCAGCAGATATACACTATGAACATGGAGGCCTAAGAAGGATATTCCCACAAAACAGGAGCAAACGTGTAGAGGACCTTGACACAGGGTAGGGACAGCTTCCTACGGGCTAACAAAAGACGCCAGAGGAAGCAGGCCACACGAGTACTCCACTGTGAAGGAGACATCTGGAGGAAGACCCCTTCTCCGCTAACTCCAGCTGGCCGGTGGAGCTGGGCACCCAACGGTCCCAGACAGACTGGGCCTGTGGGGGTCATTAGGCCTCCCTAGGAAAGTGGCAGGCTGGCCCTGTGGACAAGACGGCATCATCTGTGATCTCAGCATCACTTCTTGCCCTCCGTGTGGCTCCTCCTCACCACTACTCGGGCTCCCCACCCCCCGACTGGGAGCCCTTCTCTGTCGTCCTGGCCTTCTCGGCTCAGCTCCACCACACTTTCAGCCCTGGGTTCCTCTGGCCACCCCGACTAACGCACCACACCCAGAATTCACCATCCATGACCCGTACTTGTTACATCTCTATGCCCGCATGTGATTTCTTCTTCCAGTCTTTCACAACCCAACGTCAGCTTTCTAAAACAGAAAAGCACATCTGATAATGTTCCCAGATCCACGATTCAGAGGGACACTCCCTTCTCTACGAACTTGGAGAGAACCCAAATTCCTCAGCTTATCACTTCAAGCCCTTGCTGTGTGGTTCCAGGCAGCAAAGACCGGGCACTGCCCCCTGCCCCGAGCCTGGTTCCCGCTCAAGGGCACGTCTCTGTGCCTTGTCCCTTGGTCTGGAAAGCTCTTCTGTTCAGCGCTGTGAGGTAATGTGGGAGCCCAGGTGCCGGTCACACGTAGATCGACAGGTAGCTCTGCCACCAGCGGGGACTCAGATCCCCAGCAGGACTCACTACACGTACTGACTTTATCTGCCTCATTTCCCAGCCACATGGTTAGTTCCGTGGGCAGGGACCACGGTCACGCCTCTGTCCCAGTGCCCGGACAGCTTCCATACAAACAAAGAAAAACGCACATCACTCGTTTCTCACTCCTCGAATCCGAATCCTGCCTCACAGACTGTAACGCAGGTGTACCGTTACGAACCCTTCACTGATCAAACATCGGGGGGATACAGCTTTCCTCCTCACATCTTGTTTTCCTTCCTATCGCCTCTTCCTCAGTTAACCAGGAACCCGGGAAAGAAGAACAACTATCAGACTCGGTTCTGTCCTCCAGAGGGTGTGACCTGTCTCTCCAACATCATTCAGATTTTCCCGTCACATGGGTTTATCCCTGAGGGCTGGGAACGTTCACAGACTCCTTCTCTCTAACCTGAACTGCGACACTGGAATGATTACTGTCTGTGTGCATGTGCGGCTTCTCCTCGTAACTTGGCCACTGGTTCTGAGGAGCCGCCACCCGGTCCTGGGATCTGGAGGCGGGGAAGGTGAAGTACTCCCGGCTGTACGTCTGTGTGGGGATGGGGTAGGCCTCCGGTCTCGGTGGGGGGGTCTGCTCCTGGAAACCGGGAAGAAGAAAGAAACGTGAGCTCCTGGCAATTTGCACTTAAACTAATTTAATTTCCAATGATCTGTTTTAAAATATAGTAGATACATTTAAAACTGTGTTAAAAATTTAAAGCGTTTGATCCCATACTGAGAATAATTAAACCATTTTTCCGTGATTCCCTCATTTAAAGCTAATTTCCTAATTGTGTTAAAAGTGAAGAAGGCCTCTGGAATTCTAAACACGGCTGACATGTGGAGCGAATGTGGGAGGAGACAGGTCAGGGACCCCGCGGGAGGCCTGGGCATCTGCCGCAGGGAGGACGCTCGCTTCGCTCTCACACCTCCGTGCAGAGGTTCCCGGTGGAGACAGACGTGATCTTGGCTGTTGTTCCAGGGCTGTACGCGCTCTTCCCTCCGGGGCTCGGAGGCTGATCTGTTAGAAAGGGTCGGGGGAAAGAAAGTTTCACATTAGATAAAAAAAAGACGCGATGTCACGTGACAGAGCTCTCTGAGGGTCGTGACCACGCGCCCCGCATCTTCCATCTGCCAGTGAGGAGTCAACACCCGACAAACAGTAGCCACGTGGGAGATCAGGGCTCACCACACCCTCTCCCCTCACTGGCATCATCAGAGCCCCGAGCTACCAAGTGTCATCTGCAGACAGGGACTGGCGGACATTTCTGGCAACGGGACAGACAATAGATATCTTAGGCTTTGCAAACCTTGTACATGTTGCATATCCTTCTACTGGTTCTTCTTCTTCTTCTTCTTCTTTTTTTTAAAGGTTTTATTTATTTGCAGACAGAGATCACAAGTAGCAGAGAGGCAGGCAGAGAGAGGAGGAAGCAGGCTCCCCGCTGAGCAGAGAGCCCGACGTGGGGCTTGATCCCAGGACCCTGAGATCATGACCTGAGCCGAAGGCAGAGGCTTAACCCACTGAGCCCCCCAGGCGCCCCTGATTCTTCTTCTTGCTAACAACCCTTGAACAGTAGAAGCACCCCTAGGGGACCTGCTGGCAGTCTGCCCACTCCAGCCAGAGACCGTATCAATGATGCGTCCAGAGCACGCACTGAATCAAAGTGTCCTAACCTAGTTTTTACCGTCTGCCAGGAGAACACGGCTTTCCACCTCTCTCACCAAGAGCACGTGTCCATCAGCGCGTGCCCGCAGGGACTCCCACCACCTTGGTAACTAAGGGGGCACACGGTGTCTCCCCAGCACCGCCGGGAACCGTGCACGTGCAGGCCAGGGAAGGACAGGAAAGGGACGCTTCTTACTAGCCACGTTGGGGCTGGAGCGGTGGCCAGCCCGGTTCTTCATCAGTCGGTCGTCACCCGGCACTTTCTTAGGTTCACTGTACTCTGCCCACGGCAGCTGAGGGCTCTCAGGTGATCCGTTTGGGGCTGAATTATTATAGAGCTCGAAACCTTCACTCTTTGGTCGGGGTTTACCTGAGCCACGACGGTCTGAAACTGAAATCAAAGTGTATTCAGGTTCTCCTCATTTGCGTGAGATTTTATTTTAAACACCCTATTTAGTCTTTTTTATTTTTTTAAAGATCATATTTATTTATTTGACAGAGAGATCACAAGCAGGCAGAGAGGCAGGCCAAGAGCGGGGCGGGGGAAGCAGGCTCCCCGCTGAGCAGAGAGCCCGACGCGGGGCTCGATCCCAGGACCCTGGGATCATGACCTGAGCCAAAGGCAGAGGCTTAACCCACTGAGCCACCCAGGCGCCCCCCTATTTAGTCTTTAAAGACAGATAAAACCTACAAATATTTAAAATTTCATAAGACCGTATTTTTAGTGGGAGAAATAAGGTAATTTTTTAAAATCTAAGAGTAAAATCTTTTTCTAGACAATCTTCAAAGCAACATTTAACTTGCACTGATGGGAAAAGGTGCTCTTTCTAACCCTGTCTTCTCATAAACTCCACCTGTTAAAAGTCACTAGACAACTTCTAAAGTAACTTTTCAAAGTGAAAGATAAATATACTTCCCTCACTTTCTAAAACACACTAATTCTTTTAGTAGCTGATAGTGTGACTGTCCACGTCCGCTTCTGGCTTTCATGTGCCCCGTGTGGCAGCCTGGGCATGTTCTCTGTTCTAATAGCTTCCCTCTGGGGAAAGGTCATTTCCTTCTTGGAAATGACCATAAGCTGTGCCATTAGCCCACCAATGCGGTAGCATCATGAGAAAAGTGAGAGATATGCTGGGTCGAGGTCTACACAACACACGGTTGGGTTGAGCTACGCTCTGTTTATTCTGGTACACAGCAGGTCCAGGTTCTCAGAGGCTGTGGTTGCAGCCATGTCACCATTAGGTTGACTTCAGGTCCTGGACTTGGAGGAAGCTCCCAGAATACGGACTGACAGAGAAGGGAACTCCATCAAGGCCAGACTTAGCAGCTGTGCACAAAGTTAGCAAAGTAAATGCAAGGTATATAATGATTTAAAAGATAACATGAATCCTAACGGGTTTCTCCCTGTGATTCTGAACTAATCCTTTCCAAAAAAGCCCTAAATTTCTATTGGTTTTATTCTGATTTATTCTGATGTAGCGACAAAATCATGGTTCCAAGAGATGATCTCATGTCAATAATGGAGACTTTAATTTAAAGTGACCTACGTACAACAAGACAATCACGTCCTGCACACGCAGGGCTGTAGTAACTGTTCATACGCAGTCCTACAGCTGTTTCAGTGGAGAATCCTGCTTGTTCTCTGAAGATTTCACGTCCCACCCGCATCCCCTGCTGCCTATGACCAAGTGCCTCCAGCAGCCGGCTGGGCCCACGGGGGCTTCTGCGGGCAGGAACCTGGGGAACCACCCCGGGGCCAGACACCGGACGCTGCTCTCAGCCACTTATCCCGGGCATCTCGCTGGAGGGCTTGCACCCTGCTGGGATGCTGAAAGCAACAGCACCCAACCCCCCGAGATCCTGTGGCTACAGAGAGAAGGCCAGGACGCTAAAATCCATGGGCCGCACGAAGTGACCCAGACCCGCCCGCTGCTCCCAGCAGCAGTTACGAACAGACGGCACAGCCCCCGCCACGAGCCCTTACTTCTCTGCATCATGGGGGACGGCTGATTGAGCAAGGTGGCCAAGCCGTGATAAATTGCTCCCTGCTTTGCTACTTCTAGCGTCACCACAGAACTTGTTCTTGTCATGAGTTCTGCCGCCCTAGGAAGAGGAGAGAAGCACAAACGTAAGAAAATGAAAGGCAGCCTGTAGCCACACTACTCTGAGGAACAGTTCTGACCTTCAGACCGACGACCTACTGCCCATTCCCTTCCTTTCGAGAGTAACGAAGCACGCGTCTCCTGTCGCCATAGTGAGAACGGCCAGACGACACTCAGACATTCCCAGCATGTGCCAAGGGTATTTTTTTTTAAGCTTCAAAGAAACCACTCCAAACTAAACACATATTTATAATCTGCTAACAAATGCGGTATCCTGTACACTATTTTACATTTAAAAAGGTGAAGAGTAAGGGCATAGCTTTTTGGCATTTTTTGTCTTCTAATTCCAAATGTGAAATATCCCTAAACATGCTAATATTCAGCTTGAAACAAACAAGTACATAAATGACGATACCTTTCTTGAGAGAGTCCTACCAGACTCCGTCCGTCCACACTGAGGAGCTGGTCGCCCGCAGCCAGGCGTCCATCCTGTGCATAGCCGAAGGGCACGTGTTTTGGGCGGCAGGGACAGCCAAGGGCGAGAGGAGGAAGAAGAAAGTCAACGGTAAGGAAGCTCATGTTTGTTTTTTTCAGCAAACAGTCTACATGGTGTTTTCTACGATAAGCATCAGTGGGGCCTCGCAGGTCATTTGTGGAACAGGACTCGCGGAAGACTTACATCTTTAAAACTGATACTAACCACGTCCGCAGCGCCTCCTTTTACAACAGACTTGACGTAGATTCCGAGTTTGTCCTGACCAGCGCCCTAAACAAAAACAAGGCAGGACACACTGCTTGAAGACACACAGTAAAAAAATACAAACCTCAGTAAAATACAACACAAATAAAAGAGTACACAGATAATTGTAACAGAAGTCCTGCTTCTTGCTTTTACATGAAAATCAGTACTAATAAAATTAACACTCTATTTGGTAAATACAATGGAACGAACGGGAAACGTACGTAGTTTGTTTCTAAATCAAGGAAAGTCCTCCTGAAAAATCGATTGCTAATAAACCAGTTGACGAGGAGAGGAAGACCCGCATCCTAACGGAAATTCAACATAAGCTCTGATGGCCCTGGGTTCGAATGAGCCACAGCCACCCTCACGACTTACACTATTCACCACTTTGAGACAAAAGCGATTTACCGGAGTCTATATCCCCTTATTTCCAAAGCTGTATTTTAAAATTTAAAACAAGAAAAAACTTCTTGTGGCATCCAGCGAGGGGCACTTAGGTAAGTAAGAGTAAGAGGGCTGTGCGGAAAACGCTGCGCACGGGTGCAGCGGAGATCACGCGGTAGAACTCCAGATGAACGCGGAGCTGGGAGCCCCGAGCCCCACGGCAGGCTTGTCAGGACAAGCAGCTTCTGCCAAACAGGTTTAAGGACTACACATAGCTCCCGTACAGAATCACCAATGTTCTACCTGGACAGTCCAACAAGAACATAAAAACCCGCAGGAGTCATTTACTGGACTGGCCACAGGAAGCCATCGCATGCGTGAAATCCCCCTTGGAGCACTGCCAACGTCCCTCAGCCGAGGACACGAGGACACATTTCGTAGCTCAGAGTAATTTCAATAGTCATGAAGTACTGTGTCATAAAGGAAAAATGCAGAAGGTGTCCCAGAGTTGTAGACAGTGAGTTCAAGAAATGACTTCATGGAAGCAAAGTTCCACAACACCGCGGAAGCACGTGGTTTCCACTCAAAAACTCCTCATCGCTGCCTTTCGCTGACAGCCGGTTCAGAGAGGACAGTCTGACTGGGGAGCGCTGCTGAGGCCTGTGCCCGCTCTCCCCTCAGGGGAAACCTAGCACGGAGCATAGCATGCCATTGTTTTCCGTGCCTAAAACCATCTACTACGTATCTCATTACGAAAATGGGAGAGACCGTCCCAATTTAACAAAACAATTTTGGGAAACGGTATGTTTCAAATTTCATGTGGTTACATGACCTGCGAGCTGCGTTTATAAAAATTCTATACAAGCTAAAACCCAGTCCTCTCTTTTGCAGCTCCCCTCCCCAATCTGGCCTAGGTTTTCCCGTGTTCACCCCCGTGTGCTCCTCGGTGTCTGTCTGTCCCCTGTCCCCGTGCTGCACACCCCCTGCCCCGCCCCAGACTCCTGACTGCCTACAGACAGATGCACGCCCCTCAGAGGTCAGCCAGCACGTCCACTGCACTACGTAACCACGTGCAAGCGGCGACCTCCACCGGTTCCTCACACACACACACACACACACACACACCCCAAAAAGCAGAGGCAGTTGGCAAAGCTTGTCCTTTTCTGTAAATGTGACATTTCACAGTAAACAAAATACATACAGTAGGCACTCGATAGACGGCAGCGTTCTGGACGGCAGCATGTTCCTCAGCGAGAGCACAACAGAGCAACAGCCAACCCGTTAACCTGACTCTGCTCTGGCCGGTCCCGGGTCTCCCTGAATGGGGCCCTAACGTGCGCGTGGGAAATCACCCCCCGCCAGCCCCGCGCCGCCTGCTCTGTAAGGCAGGCGATCCGATGAAATGATCCTGTCCCCAGTATACTTCGTACTTCTATGTGGTCGGTGACCGACTGCTTAATGCCACAGCCCAGCTGTCTAAGTGACCATCACTCCTCCGACAGGCACCCGCCGGCTACTCACACTGGGAAGGGGCCTGTGCCACATGCCGCATGAGCCGCAGCTTTGCCGCGAGCCCCCTGTCTGCTTTCAGCCACTCATTCAGACCAGGAGCCGCCCCCCGAGAGGAGCCAGCAGCCCCACATTCCATACAAGCTTCCACCTGGGGGACTCCCCGGGAACCGCAAATACTGCGCAAGTGACCGGAAAGCCCACAGCACCTTCGGAGAGGCCACATACGTGTGCCGTGAGGTTTACAAAGCGTAAGCTCAAATATTCACGTGAAACTGATCACGTGATACACACACTGGACAGCACCGTGACCGTCACATCTTCAGATGCAGGCACAAGTGTCCAGCATAATCGTCCAACAGTCCCGGCAAGCCCTCCTTGCGGCCGCCCCGCTGGTCCCCTCAGCGCTCCCGAAGCGCGCCCCACGGGACCCCGGGCCCTAGCCTGGCGCCGCACCCTGGAGCCTGAGCGCAGATCCTCGCCCTCTCACTACACACGGCGCCTGATCCACAGCCTCCTTCGCGCGCCCCTGATCCGCCCTGCCTCCGTCTCCCCGTTTTGGCTCACGCTGTACTTCCCACAGCAACGTCTGACGCAACAGGTCTGCCAAAACGCTTTCGTTGTTCGACTCCCGGCTCACCTGCCACCATCCGCCAAGCCACACGGCTTCCCGACATCGGGCAAGACGCAAGCTCCTCCTCACCTGTGCTCCCGGGATGCTTCCCCGAGTCGCCTGCTGCCGCCAGTGCAGATGGCTCTCCCCACCGGCCTTCCCGGTCGCTGCCTTCTAGCCTCCAGCACGTGGTCAAGGCCTTCCTCCCAAGCCCACCACGAGGCAGCCCAGACCCCATGAGCAAACAGATCAATACTTGTACCCATGCGCCAGGAAACAGCTGACGCGGCCACCACGGACGTAGCTGCTAACGCCACAACGTTCCAAGCTTAACTCGAAGCTAGGAACCCTGAGCATTTCCGACTGTGGCACCATAGGGACTGCTTCCAGGAGGAGCTGTCTGCCTTCACTGTCAGGTGAAGGATGACGGGCAAGGCTCAGCATTGAAGAAATGCTGTTTTCTTGCATGATGGGAATTTATCTAAGTTCTAAGCTACAATCACATCTTTAATTCCAAGTTCAATTTATCAGTGTATCTGCAACTCAGAAAAGGAGATCTCCATCTGAGGAATGACAAGACAGTGATCATTACAGCCCTCAACTGCAAAGGCCCAGTAGGCTTCTACAAGGTCCTTTTGAGGTTGGTCATAAAGATGGACTTTAAGTCACTGACAGTACATGGTGAAACACATTAAAAAATATATTGTTGGGGGGGCGCCTGGGTGGCTCAGTGGGTTAAGCCATTGCCTTTGGCTCAGGTCATGATCTCAGGGTCCTGGGATCGAGCCCCGCATTGGGCTCTCTGCTCAGCAGGGAGCCTGCTTCCCCCTCTCTCTCTGTCTGCCTCTCTGCCTACTTGTGATCTCTCTCTGCCAAATAAATAAATAAAATCTTTAAAAAAAAAAATACTGTTCGGGGAGGGTGATAAACAAAGGAAGAATGGATCCAGAATATTCTACAGAGGGATCCAAGCTGTGGTTAGCATTTGAATCTCACTAATGTGGTCTCAACCTTGCACCACGTACCTAGAAAAAGTCTTGATTTAACACCCCTACTTCTTACATTTCTGTAAACACATTCCCATTCCGCTAACCTTTAACCTTCCCATAGACGTGGCCCCTAAAGCAGCCCTGCTCCGCCTGAACTCCCTGCCCTCCCATCTCTCCATACTCGAATCCTGTCCATACTTCACGTGTGGCTCACGGTTATAAACAGGACATAAAAGAAATCACAAGTACAACTGTTGTACAGAGAAATGACCAGCTCCACTGCTTATTAATTTAGAAAAACAAAATTACAGATGGATCAGAAATCAAAGAAGTTTAAGGACTTTATTTTTTTAAAGATTTTATTTGACAGAGAGAGAGAGAAAGAATGTGCACACATGAGCAGGGGGAGGGGAGAGGCAGAGGGAGAAGCAAACTCCCGGCTGAGCAGGGAGCCCGATGCAGAACTCGATCCCAGAACCCTGGGATCATGACCTGAGCCGAAGGCGGACACCTAACCGACTGAGGCCCCAAGGTGCCCCAGAAGTAATCTAAGGAATTTCTAACCATACACACATACACATACGTGTGTATATACATAAAAGCAACACGGGTAGTTACTTTCAATGCAAAATACCACAATCTCCGACCAGCTCTAAGGAGACCCGACATCTTCATCTGGACGCAACTCTCCTGGTTTGCAATGTCCACTGTGGCAGGCTGGACAGAGGGGCGGGTCGGTCAGTGCTACTTCATCCCTGCTCGTGCTACCCGGGCTGGGACCAGGCCAGCTCTTGGGAGCACTGAGGCAAACTCACCGCCTGCCAGGTTGCAGTAACTCCTCAGCATTACGAAGCTCTCACTACCTGCCCCACTTCTTCTGAAAAAAAGTAAAATTATAAACTATGATAAAAACGGTATAAACTAAATTATTTCAGAAGCATTAAACCTCTTCTGTCTTATTTCTGATAATAATGCACACACTAACCTAGCCTAGAAAGACTGAACTTGTATGACAAGTCCATTCCTTTTCTTTTTTCAAAAATTTTATTTACTTATTTGAGAGAGCGAGAGAGTACACGAGGGTGGGGGCAGAGGAGAGGGAGGAGCAGGGAGCCCCACGCAGGTCTCGATCACAGAAACCTGGAATCAAGACCTGAACCGAAGGCAGGTGGTTTAACCAACTGAGTCCCCCAGATGCCCCAAGTCCATTCCTTTTCTAGTTAAGAAAGGCAAACAGGGCCCAGGAAGTTTTTGCTGCTACATGCCCTTGTAACACACATCAGTAAAAGAATGTAAACACGAGCTATATAAACATTAGCCAAGCATCGGTGCGGTGGCATTAATAGACACTACCAGACTATGCTGTCCGGTACGGCGGCCGCAGACCACACGCGGCTCTACTGAGTACTCGGAATGCGGAAATGTAGCCGGTCCAAACGGAATGTGCATGAAGTACACAATAGACCCAGATATCTAAGCTTTGTATGGAAAAAAGAATCTAAATATCTCATTAATGACCTACATTCCAA